GCAGGTCTGCCAATTCCCGCGACCACCAATACACCTGGCGCTTGCGTTGGCACGGTCGGATCCGGGGCATCGCCACGTCGCACATCCTTGACATGGCGTCCTGGAGCCATCTCGCCTCCTCGTTAATGTCGGCTGGCCTGACCGGTGGTATCACCCAGGCCTGCACGACTGCGGCTTCCAGGAAAAGCTCCCGGTCCAGTTGCCTAAGCGCCCAACGCGGGCCACACGGGGCCTGTCTGACTGGCGGGTCTGCGGACTCGGCGGAGACGTCGAACCGTATATACCGGTGGTCCGAAAACGTCTCCACCTCCTCCATGACGCGCCAGTCAACAACGCGCGATGACAGAGCGGGGCTGGCAAACGAAATGTCCACCACTGACTCGCCCCGCATCCGTACGCACGTGGGGACAGAACCCCGGTTCAGCACGACTAGGCCTGTCTCCAGAGCCCAGTCTTCGACCATCCTTCCCCGGACATCAGTGAGCCGGGAACCCCAAGCCAAATTCTTGGCATTGAAGTCCCCGAGGACCAACACGGGGAGGGGACGGAACCCGACGACGACGGTGACTAACTCCCTGAGGGAGTTGTGGAACTCGACGAGAGTTCGGTTCGGAGAGAAGTACACGCCCACCACGGCGATCTCTCCGAACCGAGCCGCGACGCAACCCCTGCCTCGCTGAGGCCCTTCGGGGGTTGGGGTACCGGCGGCGGCCGACGAGATGATGGTCACCGAGCCGTCCAGGTCTGACACCCAGTGTTCCCTGGCTGGAACGAAGTACGGCTCGGAGACCACAGCAACATTGATCGACCACTGCGCCATGCTCTGGAGCAGGAGATCCTGAGCAGCGACGCAGTGGTTGATGTTCGCCTGGAGGAGGCGTAATGGAGCCATTATTGGGTATCCATCACGACCTCCTCTCTGACGGCAGCGGCGACAGCAGCAGTCGCAGGGGTGTTGGCGACTGCGGCGGCAGCGGGAGCGACGGTGGGAGCGGTGGAGGTGGATACGGGCCTACCTTTGCTCCTGGGCTTGGTGGGGGGGGAGCAGGTTTTGCCCCCAGCCCGGTGATCGGCCGGCTTGCCAGCCGCCGCACATACTACGCAGTGCGGCGGGGCGGTACAAGCGCCGGCCCTGTGACCGGGCTGACCGCAGCGGAAGCAGCGGTCGCTGCGGTCCACCTCTGAGGTGCACTTGGCACCCACATGGTGACCAATGAGGCAGCGGAAGCACCTCAAAGGTCGGGGTTCCAGCAGCTTCACCTGCGCCGAAACCCAGCCCACCAGGAGCCTTTTGCCCTCCGACAGTTTTTTGGCCGCTGTGACGGGGCAGCTCACTACCACGGTCCGCAGCCCCGTATTGTCCGGGCGGATGGTGCCTGCCTTCACCTGATCAGCAGGGCACCCCCCCGTCCTTGCGACAGCGGCCGCCACCTCGTTCTCCGTCACGGAGTCATCCAGGCCCATGATGCGTAGCTCCAAGCATTTGGTGGGCCTGGACACGCGAGCCTCATCCGCCGCAAGGCACGTCCTGAGCCTCTCGGCAAGGGCGTCAGCGGATGGGCCGCTGGCCGCGCCGGGGACCTCCAGAAGACGGGCTCCAGTCGCGGTGACCCTTACCGCGAACCCGTTAGGGGCCCCGAACTCCGCGGGAGTAACCGTCCCCTTCAATTTGGCGAGGACGTCGCCGTATGTCACCCCCTTCTTAGCCGCGTCCGGCTGTAGCGTGATAACTACAGCCGAAGATTTAGGGGTGAGGAGCATTGCCGCAGCGCGCTTCTCTTTGCGTCGCTGCTGCCGCCGCTGCCGCTGCTCCTTCTTGCGGCGCTTCCTCGCCTCTTTGGCGCTCCTTCTCGCCTGCCCGGCCACCTGCCACTCGTCGCCATCGGTGCGCAGCTCTGATAGCGGGGTTGGGGCTGCAACGGCTGGAATTTCAGCTGCTGCGCCTCTTCGCTTGCGGCTATTTGGTGCCAGAGGCACAGCAGGAGCCGGTGCCGGTTGAGCCATAGGCGTCCTCGTCAGCGGCGGGGCTCTCGGTGGTTTCGCCGCAGGGGGCACTTTCGCCCTTTTCTCCACCGGAGCGTCTGCTCTGACGCCGCGGCTAGGTGGCTGCTTCGTCTTCGCTGCCGCGGCTGCATAAGTGCCAGTTGCGAGCGGGGGTCGAAGGAGCCTACCCTCCAGAGCGTCGAAACGCTGCTGGAAGGCGGCCATCTCCTGCCGCATGAGGCCAAGAAGGTCGGCCTCCACTGGCTGCGAGGGTAGGGGACGACCCGCGCGAGCAGCGGCGAGTTCCGCCTTTGCTGCACGAAGTTCCGCCTCCAGGGCAGAGTTCGCAGCCGCTAATCGGGCCAGCTCGCGCCTCATTCCGGCCATCTCTTTTTGCAGAGCGGTCATCTGCCGCTCTGCTGAGCCCTTCTGGGATACCGCCGACATTATTGCGGCCTCCGCGTGCTTAAGCACTCCGTTCCTGCCAGCCTGGGTTTTTTGCCCAGCCAGCATGCGGAGTGCTTCCTTAACCTGGAGGCGGAGGCTCTCAGCGCCGCCTGCAGAATCCTCACCTCCGGACACCTCCATCTCCGAGGAGTCCGAGGGGGCAGCCTTTCCCAGGGCGCTCCCCTCCGCTGCCAGCCGCTCTGCCGGCTCAGAGCGGCTCCCAGCCGCTCTTGTGGAGCCCTTCCCCTTGCCCCTACCCCGCGCAGCCGTGGGGATTTTGGGGGCTGGGGCCTCCTGCTCGATGGAGGACGGCTCTCGGCCATCCTCCAACCTGGGACGTTTGAAAACGCCCCGGTCTTTTTTGTGGCGCAGCGCGATGCTGACGCCAGACAATGATGAGTCGGACTCTGAGTCCGACTCCTTCCTCCCCGGGGCCCGTGCCCGAGACTTGCTGGACGGGGCCAGCGCCTCCCCACGAACCCGAGAGCCAACCTGGCCCTCGCTATCGCCTCCAAGCGAGCTGACCTCGCTTGCCTTCTCCTCACCGGTAGGTGGACTTTTATTATTTTTGTGTTTAGACATCTCCATTGAAGTCCCACGAGTATGGGGGAAATAAGAGGTCCGCCCAGGGAGAGCCCCCTGTCCCTGGGTAAGTGTGCATTTGTCTCCCAACTAGGGGGTCCACCGGTCCCCTAGCTGGGGGTGCGCTCACGACTGATCCTACTCCTCAGCCATACATACCCTCGCCGCGCACCAGAACTTAGTATTGGAGGAATTTTTTATAGAGGTTATCTTCCTCGCGGTCCGGGCGGTTAAGCCAAGACCCTCGTCCCGGTCCGAGTCATAAAACATGACCATGATCTCTTCCCGGATTACGATATCGACGGGTGCAGTCGGGCGCAGCTAGTGCCCCGATGCTACTCATTGGCAGGGTGAGTGCACAACGAGCGCCGCCCTTGTTTCTCCGCCCCGCTCTCTGCTAGGTCCAGAGAGTCGTGCGGAGGAACGCCCCCACGGAGGCGTAGACTCTATGCCAGCATAGAGCCGGTCGCCTCTAGAACCCGACCGGGTTCTCCGCCCGGCCAGAAGTTCGCTGCGGGCGACAGTCAAACCAACCCTGTCACCATCCCGTTAGGGAGACTGTCGCCCGCACCCAGGGTGCACCACGGGGAGGTCTTCTGGCACGCACCCCAAATTAACAAGCGTAAAGTCACGTTTTGAACTTATTATTAATGTAGTTTATTATTTTAGAATTTTTATCGAAGCAGGTGTGTCCTCTGTTATATTTACACAAATACTTAGATATTTAAACATTATTTATTTTGCGATAAAAAGTCAGACAGTCGTTTCCCTCGTCACTTATGTAACAAAGATCGTACAGAGTATGTGGTGCCAAGGAATTAACATAAATAAAGGATGACAAATGACAGTACAAGACGATTTGTTGGTATACATCATTACTATAGAGTTTCAATAACATTGGTGACGCTGTTTCACTATTTGCATTGGCGGAGTCGTGAGTTTTCAAGTAAATTAGTAACTATGTGCATTATTTATATAAGAACTGCGTCAAAATAAATGATGGCATTTTATGTTCACGCATCAATCATCTTCTGCCGGAATATGTTCAATGTTGAACAAACATGTTTAAATAGGTTTGTGCCATAATCTCCGAGCTTAGTACCAAGTGGCTTACTATCGTAATTAGAACTCCGAACGTTAAGCACGTTCTCCCTTACGTTCTTCAGTCAGACAGATGATAGTTTTAAGACTAGTGTCCACTACATTTTATTTCTTGCCTTTAATCTAATATCATAAAAGTGAGTACCTACATAGGCACTTAATTGTTCAACGGAACAATAGAGAGAAAAGTGACTGTTGAATACCTATAACATAACAAAGGTTGATGCATACGAAGGTAACAAAAGAATCGCTAATAGAGATTCGCGAGGCGACCCTGGCGACGACGCTGCTATTTCACTACTAAAACCCACAATGATGGTGCGATTCGACCTCCAAAGCGTCTAAAAGTGAAGGGGGACTAATGAATCGTCTTTTCAGCCCTTTTTAGGGCAATTTCTACACAAATTCGTGAGTCTTTCTGTTACGTGTGCAAAACTAATGTAGCAACGTAATCTGATAGTAAACTGCACACGAGCCAGTCGATAGCAATCATACTGATAACGTAGTTACATCTACCCAACCAGCGTCATGCTGAATAATAAAGGATTCAGTCAACGAACTGCCAGATAAATAATTTTCTAATTTAGATATCAGTTATTTGCGTCTGATAACGAAATTTTACCGTCCTTGACTAATTCGGTTAGATCGACAGCTATCTATATCTACCTAATATGATTTCCGAACGATAGTATACCAGCACAATAATCTACATATCTACATTAGTACTATTTTGTTTCAAAATAAATGAATAAAATGTTGTTTTTAATAGCAGTCAAAAGATCGCTGTTAAACAAAGAATACTCCGCATTGTCATAATTTAATCTAGTTTACACTGCTTCTATTTTTTGGTGGTTGATTGATAACTCTGGTCAAGGCTATTTTCTTACCTCATAAGACTCTGGGTGTTCGCTCTCGGCGATGCTGGCGAACAGATGACTGAGAGCCCGGGACATCAGGCCAGTCATGGTATATGTCTTGCCAGCTCCAGTGGCTCCGTATGCGAAGACAGCACCGGCAAACCCCTTTAACGTATCACCCACCAGCGGGGCACATACAGCATCATATACGTCTTCCTAAACAAATAATTAAGCATCATTAGTAGGGACAATCAACTCAAAAACAGCTATGATCTATCGGACAAATTAATTAACTAAAGGTAAACAATCTTGGGATGTCTTTTTATAATAAAATTCTGAATTAGGTATTTACCCAAATCGATTTTAGCGCCCAGACCTCTTTAATATAAAAAGACATACCTACCAAGATTGTTTACCTTTAGTTAACTACCTAATCTAGACCATAAACTAGATATTTTTTTATTTATCCAAGCATGATTGGTACTTTCGCCTTACTTTTGCAACGAAACTGTGATTTTATTTAATGAAAGATAGAGAAAACGATCGCGGATTTTGACATTCGGGGTATGGCAGCCCTTAAAACGCAGAAACAGATTAATTATATTCATAGTTAAAAATTATTATAAAAAGACCAGACTTTGTTGGTTAGTAATAAAAACATCTGTCTGTGTCTTTCTATGTGTTGATATGTGTATGAAGTTTTGGTAATTCCAATTCCAGACATTGGAGATGCTCTGTTGCATTTAAAATAGTTTTTGTTTTTACCCCAAATTAACAAACACAACATCATTCACGTCTACGTTTTGACTTACGTGGGAAGTTGTAATACATACATACAACTAGAAGTAATGATTTACATAGAATTTTAGTTTACGTAGGTACATGAAACGGGTAAACTTGGCAACTAACACAGCAATTATATCTATGTTAACGTAAGATAATAGACAACAAAGTTCCTGCCTGAGCTAATTGCTCACTAAAATAAATAATATCCCGGTGATCGTCTGCACCATTTTTAATTAATATTGTTAATATTTTCAACAACTTTCTTTCTATTTTATAACCTTTGCAATATTTAACAAAACTTAAATCACTAAAATATTGAAAAAGTTCTTTTTTATTCTCAGTCACACAGCGAAACACAATGCTATGGCTGTTTCACCCCGGTTTTCTATAACGGTGGTATCACTCCAGTCGAAACAGTCCATTCGTGGCAAAACATAGCGCCCCTACACTTCTTGCTATTTTTGATAACATGCACAATCAATGAGACTGTGTACTACAAACATTACTTAACATAACATTCTTATCAATAGCAAGCAAATTGAGGTTGAAACATTGTTAAATAAAAACTCGTATCTTCCGAAATGTGTATTAAATATTTATTTAATTTAGTAGCTGCTGTTTTCGCTGTAGACGGAAGGCCTTCAATGTTCCATTAATTATGTAAGAGGTTCATATAACTTTTATCATGATCGAAACACCAATTATAACAATCCGACAACAACAATTAGTGATATCGGGTAAATGATCGCTGTTACCTATCAACAGATATACAGAATATCACGTTCTAGTGTGCTGCCTATTCCCTACGCCAAAAACGTGGTCATAATAGTATGCGAAGTATTTGGCATAATTTAAAGCACTTGTTTCTATATACTGAGGTAAGTATATGTACTATAGCCATAATATCAAAACTGCCATTAACCATCGGTCTACGTGGATTTGGACTTCAAAATTGTAGCTGTGTTGGTACTTCTTTTCTCTACAGTGTAGTAGGGGAGCCCAGGCTAAATTTGTAGTTACTCAAGCGTCGTACGAAGCAACTGGATTCTGAAGATTAGGTGATAGAAAGAAAAAATGTTTCATTTCTCCGGTGGCGGAAGAGGGGATCGATAGTAATCCAAAATTGTTAAGTGTAACTTTTGTTTTGAAGCAAGAGCGTGACAGATATTAATAATGTACTTATGCATATTCTCCACGTATCCCTAACAATGAAAACATTTTGTCGAATTGCATGGTGCGTGGGACCGATTGAGAGGATAGAAACGGGGCCGGTTCAAAACTCTACCACTGTCCTAAACCACGATGAAGTAGGCAGATTTTTTAATCACACTTTCTTTACCATAAAATCTACCGGTCTAGCCTTAATCTGACGAAAACGACTATATATATATGTAGTTATTTTTTTATATTGTTATTCCCCCTCATCTATTTACATTAAGTACATGACGGATATATTCAGCAGGATATTAAGTATTTTCTATATGTTAATCTGACGCGCTGGAGTAACAACCAAAATCCTGGGCTCATTCATTGGCTCCCCTACAAGTACTGGTCTTCAAATTCCTTGTAAATTATACCACTACAGAAATAATATATCAACCTTCTATCGACGAAACAATATAATATGTGAAATATCTTTGGAACACCAAATTAGCTTTAGGTACCTACTTCAAGTTTTTTCTACGTCGAAGAGATGTTCAAGAAATACTAATAATTATGTATCTTCGTGTGACGTCAGTGCATCCGTAATTTAATACGTACTTGTGTGCTGCCTTCGCCGAAGACTCGGTCATAGACGTAATGTTTGTCGTTAAGGCGCCGCTGACGTAGCACATCTCGACGACTGTCCGCCTCCTCCTCCAACACCAGCATCTAATGACACACCTCATGTTACCTCATTATCCATAGCAATATGATAAACTTCAAGTTTATTAGAAATGAATGGCGGATAATAGATCAATTTGGCTGATAACCGAGCAGGAAGTGTTCTGTTTGGACATCGATCGATATGGATATGAGAAAGAATGTGAAACTTTTATAAGAGGTCATGGCGTATATATTTTTATATAAAAGTGTGAGTATAAAATATTTCTTAACGCTTCACAAGAAATATTGTTTTTTACATAAAGGAAATGGTTCAGAATATTTATGGTTCATTACTTATGTGCATGGTCTTGTACTATAAAATTTTTAATGAATATAAATTTTATTCTACTTGGATTTATATGGGGTTATTTTCCTACTGTTTTTATTTCTTTAAATTTTCTTCTGGAATAGCTTTTATATCCCTCAAAAAGCTAAGTTCAGTTATGTATGGGTATTATTAACACTCACCATTAGGTATTATAAAATTAAATGACTAACATTTACAATGATGAATGAAGGCATGTACACATTTGAAAACACCCAGTGTGAGTAATATGAAATTTTAAGCACTTGACTACCAAAATACGCTACATGATTTGCCTACCCACATTTTTGTCACTCTTACTTGAGGTAGGTAAGTGATTAAGAACCTCATCTCTAATACATTTAAAGTTCATTAACCTGCTCAAATAGCAGGTAACCTATACCTTCGCTCTTAGAAATGTTGTCATTTTTACATACTTAATAAAAATCACACATCGTATATCAATTTAATAGCAAAACAAATTTGACGTATTGTCAATTAGTTTCTCGTTCCTTTTATAATGATAATCAAGAAGCTTCAGTACTAAAGAAGCAACAAAAGTTGAAAGTGCGAAAATACCTATGCAAGTCAAAGTCAAAAGTCAAAGTCAAGCGACTTTGTGACACCAAACCTAACATAAACTGCAATGTGCAATAGATTAATAACATAACGGTATTTAACCAGTATCCTACAAGTAGTGATATAACCTATACAACTAGTATGATAGACGTATGAGTGTATTAGGTAATGCAAGTGGGTAACCTTATCGCTGACCACATGCACGATCCGGGGACCTTCATCTGGTCGCTGCGGACGCACGCGCACCGCCACCTGTCGCAAACACATCATTACATCTTTACATGTTACTATGCAGGTCCACTTATACCAAAGTAAGTAGCCTAACCGTACATAATTATGTTTATTCTAGATAACCTCAATGGCCCGGAGCAGCATAAGGAATGGGGCGGTTTTAGTCAGGAAGTCTGACATTCGATCTCGCCTTACTCAAGGCAAGAGAAATCATTGGATAATTCTTCTTCCTCACCTCAAAAATAAGCTGTGGTTGTCGATATTTAAATGAACCAATATAAATATGTAGGTACTTGTATTTTTCAAGGAATAATTAAGTATTGTAAATGTTGAATCTTCATCTGAGGCCAAAAAATTGTATCGTCTAATTATTTTATGTTTAAAGTTAGCTAGCTAGAGAGCTAGTAGAGCTAGTAGAGCTAGCTAAACCTATAAATGGTTTAATAAGTAGATAAGTAACCACTGTATTTTGTACACAATAATAGGGCTGAAATCTTCTGTATGGAAAAAAGCCCTTTTAATAAAATAAAGATAAAAAAAAAAATGTTGAATCTATCTCTATCTCTAAAACCGATTGATGAAAAGTATGAAAACTGAAAATCTATAGTTGCTGCGTTTTATGGTACAGACCTACCTAATTGTTATATATATATTTTTTTAAATCAACGTTAAATGTTCTGCTTAAAATGCATGCCACTCATTCAAGATAAATGACTTTATTTATCTAATGAATGATAACCACTGGTGTTTATATCCTCTTTGGTATTTTGTCACTGGAATACGGGACCTGTGGCCCAGTGCAACTCAGATTTAAAATGGCTCATCCTTTTAAAATTGCGGGACATTCATTCCCCTCTTAAAATGGCGTTGCTATTGTATTTTAGAACTGCAATCGTAACAAAACGTATTTGATCTTTGATCACAGCACTGGAGGTGAGGTACACCTAAAAACCCTTAGCGTGCATGAACATAAATTAAATACCTAATTGGGTAGGTAGTTAGCTTGCCATGTAGCTATCGGGCATACAAATACTAGGTATCTACTTTAATATTCTGTTTGTACAGACATTAATGTATCAGTAAACATCACAACAGTAAAGCCTATCCTGGCTTCACTCTAGCTGCTATCTAAGAGTGATAAAATAATTTATCAATGTTAGTTATTAGTTTTCAAATTGCGGGTGTGGAGTGATCCGTCTGGTGGTGAAAAAAATAAAATAAATAACTAACGTATGCCATAGTAACATTACGATATGGCGTGCCAATCGCTGATACAGTTATACCCATGTGATCTTATAATGCTATGCAAGTAGGCTATCCAATGTCAAAACAGAGGTCATGATCAGCACTGATTAGTGGCTGTCGTGTCTCATTTTACGATATAAATACTTTATGATAATAATTACTTGGTTACCGGCTTCATCTAGTTTTTTTTTATATCTATACTAATAATATAAACAGGTAAAATTTGTAAGTTTGTATGTAGGGGTTAATCTTTGGAATCGGTGGTCGGATTTCCAAAATTCCTTCACTGATAGATAGCTATAACGTTCCTGAGTGCTATATGCTATAACACTTCACGTTACGATCAAATGGGTGAAACCGCGTGAGAGTAGCTAGTAATATATAATTTGACGTGTAAAAGTGTCGTTTTATGGCCTGTTTGCAAAAAATAATTAATGGTTTCATAACCTACAATAAATTCAACAAATTCCTATACTGAAATCGCATGTTTTTTGTTAATATTGAAAAATTTTCCAATTATTCTATCTGACCACCCCGTTCCTTCTTCTGTTCCGAGCCAGACCGCGGTACCTTCATCGTTACACTTCATACGCAACCCTCACTCGACATCGGCCTGTTCTGTTGGTTCTATAAGGCGTGCCTGAAACGTAAATCTGCGGTTGCTAAGAAGCATGCTAAGGAGTAAGGAAATTCGTCTCGTGTTTCGCCTCCTCCTGCATGACTGCTGCACAGAATTGCGCCAATTGTTAGTTTCCCTAAGGAAAAGGCGGTGCACAGCTCAAGCATGGCGCACCGTCACCGTATGCTCGACTCTGTGTCCCAGGTGGTCCCCCAATGTATGTTAGACTCTACATAAAGTGAAGGACTCTACAGCAAGATCATATTCTTTTTCAAATATTTCGTTTAAAACCACATAAGTCTTAGGCGTGGGCATATATACCTACTATAAAACCATAGCTACTTAGTTATGTTACCAAATTGAAAAATTGATAACGTTATCTTGCAACGTACCTACCTAACGTTAGTTGAACAGGTTCTTATGTTTTTATGTGATAGGTTGGCAAACGTGCCGACGCATTACCTGATGGTAAGCAATCAGCGCCGCCCATGGACAACAACAGAGGCGTTACGAGTTGTCAACCTTCTGGAGATTAGGGATTTGGAGATTTAGGGATTGGGGGAGAGGACGGATTGGGCCTCCGGTAACCTCACTCACACGGTGAAACACAACGCAGTAAGTAAGTATTTTAAGTGTCCATCAGACTAACTCGGGTGCTGACACACACTCGCAGACATGGCTGCTTCGATGAGCACCGGAATATGCACGAGAGGCCAGGGCAAACTGCCACCACTGCGGAGGCACTGCCAACCTCAATTTCGTACAGTACACGCTCGAAGAATACTTAGCGTGGGCTTCTAAGCAGTAAATCCTGGTTGCATCTTGGCAACCAGGATTTACCTCTCGGGGGAGACCGGTCTCTGTCAACATTATTTTTGGCTATGCTTGCAGAGACAGAAAATTGAAGAGAAGTGACCTCCTTTTTGACACTATAAAATGTTTAAAATTATACAGAGGCTCGGCCATAGGACAGATCTTTCTTGTAGAAGGCATCTTTTGCACCTCTTCCCAAGTACAGAATAAAAGTACTTATTTATAACTACCCAGTTATAAATAAGTACTTAGTACATTTGTAATCTGTTCAGTTCAGTTAGGTATAAAATAGACATTACTTATTAGAACATCCTTAGGTGTTCTATCTACGATATCTAAGTCTATCATAAATTAATAATCTATTTACCTACCTAAATTTATTAAACTGTAACCCAGGTATAATATTAATAAAATCACCTTAATTTTAACTTATTTTCACATTTTCATTAGAAATGGCTATATACATATTGATGGATTGATTATGGAGTCGAATGCTCCAAAAAATGTTGGTTACAAAATATTTTATTTACCATAAGTTTCTCTTCGGAGACGGTGCGGATGCTGCCATGCGATCTCTCTGAGGCAGCCACGGTGCTCTGAGTCATGGCATCACTTCTTTTACTCACACGCATCCAAGCACAATGACGGCCCAGCTCTACTGTGCTTAACTGCTTATATTACTTCAAATATTCCCTACACTTAAAAAGTTAACAGAAAAGTAAACAGTGCACTGTATAATCAACACGAACAAATAAATGTAATGTTGACGATTTAATATTAAAAAGCGGACAAAAATATCTCCAACAAATAGTATGTTTTTTTTATTAATGGGTAATTTCAGGGTGTCGAATGAAACGGCGAAGTCAAACGTTCTCCGCCCGCGTCACCTCACGTGGACTGAACTCTGGTCAAAATACAGCCTTCGCTTTGGGCGGTCGCTGGGGCAACAGCTAATCACCACAAATAAAAGTTTCATGCGCCGTCATGTACGCTGTTATTAATTACATACCTTCCTATAAATTGGGAACTATGCCAATATACCGTAACTGTTTTAAGGGATCGCACTAAATGTCATAAAAATTTAATTGACCTAAAGGCTAACCCACTCTTTTCTATTTCCGGTTTACTTTTCCGAACGGTAAGTAAGTGCCTACCTATAACTTGACGTAGGTACCTATATAACTTCAAAGTACCTATGTAAGTCTGTATCTAAAGCGTCTCTTGTATTCCTAGGTTAAATAGAATTATCGAGTACCATTCTTCAATTAATCAATGAAATTTTTTATTAGACACGGTTTTGAAATTGCAGAATGGCTAAGTAAGCAGATTATTGGTTACAGGAGAATTATATGGATAGGTACCTATAAGCCTGTTTTTCAGAAAAAAGCGTGGGTATCTTTCACTGAAATAATACATCATGTTATAACGGAGCTGTCGAAACCGCGATTTGTAAATTGCAATTCCAAGTAAAAGACAGCCACGACATGAAACCTAAATTGTGTTTGTTCAAATATTTATATTCGTAATAGAACGAATATGAATAAGAAAGTAACCTACTCACGTCTCTACATCTTGGGTTTACGAATTGATGACGGAATCATTATTTTAGCAAGCCAACGAACTTTAGACTTTTCGGACCACATGACATGTGTTCGGAACATGAACTAGGTAGATAGGTACCGAATACCCACGTGTGTACATAAGGAGAAATTGTAAGCAGTTCGTACATTCATCATCGCACACGTACCTATGGTGAGACGATAACGTAATGATCTCGCATTTGGACGTGTGCCATTCACGGCGACAACGACCGGCCCACTGTTTCCGCGTCCAATGATATTACACGACTTTTGCAAATTCTTCATTATTTAAGTAATATTTCATTCATAGCACCTGTGTCTTCAGTGTCTTTATAGTAAGGATGGTCTGACTAAAAATTTGTACAAACCTGATTTAGGTTTGGTTTTGATTTGTTTGATAACAGTCTACGTGTATTGACACGTGGCACGTGGGCGTTAGAGGACAGCGAACTTGATTAAAGTATGAGATACTTCAGATACTAAAATTCGACATCTTGTGTCATGGAAATTGTCTTTTTTTTATGTAATAGGTCGCCAAACGAGCAAACGGATAACCTGATGGTAAGCAATCAGTGCCGCCCATGGACAACCGCAACGAAGTAGTTACGAGTGCGTTGCCGACCTTTTAGGGATTAGGGATTTGGAGATTTAGGGATTGACGACGGACACGGCGAAACAACGCTGTGGTTGTTTCACGCCGGTTTTCTGTGAGGTCGTGGTATCACTCCGATCGAGCCGACTCATTCGTGCCGAAGCATGGCTCTCCCACACTTAAATGTCTTCAGGAAATGTCGAAAAAAAATAGATCTAATTTGCTTTTCAGACTTATATTGGAATGTGCGCTCGACTGTTCTGAACTGTTCAACTACCCACAAGGGCTTAGTATTTGTAGTTTTTGAATTAGACTCCTTATCAAACTCCGACAATAACTTTAGTGAATCTTAATACAAAAAAACGGACTTGATTTTTTTTATTTGGATTAGATTGCGTCTAATTCTCCATAGGGCAAAAAATTAAGTCCTAATATTAGGTTTTCTAATGCCTCAAGAATTTACAGCAACAGGTTGACTTATTGCCTTATTTTACCCTCAGAATACAGAACAAACCAGAAGGCGTCATCGCGCTTCAAACTAAAGCAACTAAAACCATTCTCAACTGGAGTAGTATGAAATTTCTACGATTAGTCAATTTTGGCACGTGGCATGTCGTGACGTATTTACGAGTATCAATTTTAATTTCATTATGCCGTCTTGTGTTATTACTACGAGTAAAAATGCGACTCGAATTACGAAAAAAGTTGATAAGATTACATTTCATCTGCAAGCATCGACTGCAATAGTATATTTAATTAATTATTGAATTTTTTATATCGATTTATTTTTCTATGAAAATGATGCGGCCATTTTGTGAGTGTTGTCATTTTTGGTGAAAATTTTACCCACTTATTTATTTGTTGTAGGTTATATTTTTGTCCATTATGGAGCCTATGTCATATTAGTTTCCCTGACAAAAATAAATACAAATCATACAAAGGGCACGGTTAGATTAATTTTGGAAACCATCTAGCCAGAGCATGGTTTGCTCAATTCACTTTGAAGAGATATCTTTGGGCGGGGGCACCCCAGTACCAGCTTCTCCCTCTGGACCGCATTCAACGACGAGCTGTCCGAATTGTCGACTGCCCTGTTGTCTCGGACCGGCTGGACTCTTTGGCACTGCGTAGAGATGTAGCCTCGCTATGTATTCTCTATCGCATCTATCACGGGGAGTGTTCTGAGGAATTGTTTGGTTTGATCCCCGCCGCATCTTTTCGCCATCGTTCCACGCGAAAAATCTTTCATCCCCATCACATAGATGGTTGGCAGTCAACAACTGTGCGATTCACCCGAAACTTTCTGCCCCGCACAGCAAAACTTTGGAATGATCTTCCGGCGGCGGTATTTCCGAACCGATACGACCTTCAAACCTTCAAGAAACGAGCATATTCCTTCTTAAAAGGCCGGCAACGCACATGTAACTCCTCTGGTGTTGCGGATGTCCATGGGCGGCGCCGATCGCTTACCATCAGGTGATCCGTCTGTTCGTTTGCCACCTATTCCATAAAAAAAAAAGATAAATTTATGACAAAGGTTGTTTGAAAACAGCATATCCTACTAAGATATATCTATACTAATTATAATGCTGAAGAGTTTGTTTGTTTCTTTGCTAGAATGCGCTAATCTCAGGAACTAAGTAAAGTAAGTAGACTTCTAATCTTTAGTTCCGAGTCTAAAGACAATACAAATAAAAAACTAAACCAGCAAAAGGGAACGCAATAAAACCTTTGTACTTATCCCCTCAGCTGTGGCGGCCATTTTTCGCGATTCGGCGGATCTGTGTAAGCACTTCGTGGGTGGTCCGCGCGATACCGGCGCGTGTGTTTAAAATTACAATATCTCAAACCTTTTGTATAGAAGCTTATATAAAGCTTATATATTTGGAATCGCAAAGGAATAAGCTAACATAAAAAAATGTACTGGTCCAGTTTCAATTTGTAATGTATAATTAATCCTTATTTGAAATCGGTTGAGCTACTATTTTCCCAGTTTGGTACAAAAGGCAAAAATAAACAATTATTTTTAAAAACTTTAATTTTCTTCACTTATATGTATACATGTGACTTCACATTAATTAGTAAAAATAAACACTACTCGCCATACATTTTCATTTTTTTTACAGAAACAAGCTTTAAAAAAACGCCTCATTTAAGAGACTACTTTTTAAACGTCTAGTATCTGTCACAAGTGCGTTCTAGAGACTTAAAATGTGAATTTATGCATAGTTCTTGTTCTTTTTCATACACTTCGTGCAAGTTAGAGCAGGAAAGGTACAGATTTACGTCATTAAACGATAAAATAAAGCGACGGGTCGCAGCGGACTCCAGGAGCGCTGTACACAGATCCGCCCATTTTGACAGAGGACTCCTGGAGTCCGTTCCACAGCTGAGGGGTTATTGAAGCTTTATTTTATTTGTTGTGTATACCTAGTAGGTGTAACTAAAATTAACGAATCCAGAAATCGTCAACTTTTATGATACCTCTATGAAATGTGTGAACAACTAGTCTGTTGCATTTATCGTAAGTTTACCTATTTTGTTGGATTTACTCGTATCTTACCCTCCTGTTGTAAACTTACCCCAAACCAAGGGAATTGTTCCACTGTCGGCAACACTACGCGGGTGGGAAGTGCGGCTGACGGGGGGATTGACGTATTGTTTTTGGACACATTTGACAACATGTAATTATGAGTGAACGCGGATTCTGGTTTGTTCTGTATTCTGAGATTTTACCCTTAAAAATTGGGGTGATTATAAAACCAAATTTTGTATATTCTAAGAATTTCTTCAGATTTGCAAATGACATCCTGAATCAAATATCAAAGAATCAATAGAGACACAAATAAAAACCTGATTCCAAAACAACATACATTTTAATAGAAGCATATTATAATTAACAAATATAAAAATATACAATATTATACTTTTGGCAATAATATATAACATTTGACACTTACACAGTGCCAGGTGCAAATAGTTTAACACCTCTATCAAATAGTTTAAAAAGATACCGGGAAGGTTTTATGTCCATAACATACAAATGTTCATTGTCATACTTGAGTCCTGGATACTTTACAGTCAGATGTCCTGATACATCAGCACTCCAGCCTGAGGTTAGATTCTCAACCTCTAGCACAGTGTAAGCTTTGTGCATTAATAGATTAGACATAACACATGTTACATCATCCTCATGTGCTTCATTGCAGTGACAAACAACAAATGAATTATTGTAGTTAGTAACAAATGGAATCAACTCTTTGAAAAACATATTTACTTCTTTCAGAGTATAATCTAAATCAAAGAAATGTGAAACACCATCCACAATAACATTAACTGCTTCATGCTTCTGTCGCATCAACAATATTTTTTCTTTAACTTCCACGAAAAGTTCAGGCAATTTACTGTCATTAAGTAAACTGTTTATGCAGTATTCACCAATGTTAAAATAATGTATTAATCCTGTGTCCACATATCTTTGCAAGTTGTAGTTCATTTTAAGGCCAACATTTTGATAGTGTTGCAGGGAATTGTGTGTTGACACTATAACAACAGCAGTCTTATTCTTGATGCAGTAGTTTATCAAACAACTGGTAATGAATGAACTATCACATTTGTTAATTTCTTTCACTACAACCACTCTACTGGACAAACTTTTGTCCAGCTTTAGCAATGTTATTATATCTGAAGACATTCTGAAATAAATAGCACAGCTTTCAAATACCAGTCACAAGAAACACGAATTATTAGTTTAAGAGAAATGTAACATGTGATTTTTATTCTACTACAGCTCCGTTGCGAACGATAAGCGTAACGCAGTCATTGCTGGGTGTTTTGAAGCACTGGCCGCGTGTTAATGTACAATGTAAGCTCCGTGAAACTCAAATCAGTGGGAAAGTGTTCGTCAGATTACTGGGACTAACATTTGTCATCTAATTTTAACATATATTATTTTAATATATTCACAAAATTTATTAAATTTTATCACATAAATCGGTGTAAGTGATAAAAATCGTGTAGATTTATTTAAGTTTTAAAAGTGACTGATTAATAAGTAAGTACCTTAACCAAATATTCTTTCTCAAATTAACTTTATTATAAAATACTTTCCACGGAAGAACAGAATCAGGGAAATTTGCCAATATAATTATTTATAGTACACCAGCAGTAAGAGTGACCTGAGCAACCTTGAAAATAATAAGATCGTTTAGTTTGGAATTGAAGGTTATTTTTCATTGGTATTAGGTTATTCACTTACGTCAAAAAACTTCAAAGTTTACGTCATGTCAGATATAGCCCTAAGATCGTGACGTTTTATTATTTAATTATCTTTTTTGAAACTCTGAATGTGGAAATTCAAAGTTTATTCAAAGTCACGTTATGTAGGAATAGTCCAAAATATCAAAAATAAATGAAATAATACTGAAAAATAAATGAGAAAGATTTTTATGATTCGGTCACAATAGGCATTTAAATTAGTTTACAGTGCTACTGTCAAAATAAAAAATACAAACTGACGTTGAAACGTTTGAAGTTGACGTCACACGTCACAAATCACGGTTTGGCATTTGTGAAATTGTGACAGTGCCATAAGATAGTCCGACGAAAATGGATGTGTTTGTCGCCTCATTTAAAATCAAAAAGTAAACCTTGTTTAAAATTAAGAGGTTTTTTGACAAAATTTGAACTAGTGAATTTTACAGTTTAAATTCATAAATTAAGGTTGGTTTGTTGTGGTGTTACATTCATATATAACAATAACAACAAATAGTAAAACATGTTGCCGTGGTATTAACTAAATATTAAAATGTATAAATCAATCAGTACTATGGATAACATATTTATACTTACATACCCAAAAGAATCAATAGATTCATTTGGGTATGAGGTAATTCCCTCGTGTGGACTTGTTATGACATTCATATTTATAAACATCTGCTTTGATTTCTAGTTCACACAATGAGTTTACAACAGGAATTAGTACTACCAAAGGAAGTGAGAGTATCAAAATGGTACTTCGGCGGATTTTCGTCAGCTGGAGCAGCTTGTGTCACTCATCCATTAGATCTACTGAAAGTTCAAATGCAAACCCAAAAGGGAAAAAACATTTCAATGTTTCAACTTGTTGGGATAGTCATCAGAAATGAAGGTAATTACGAAGATTCTCAGTAAATTAAGCTTGATGAATAGTTATAAGGATCCATCAATTATAAATCATATATCAATAAACAAGTGAAAAAATATGGACATTCATCATACTTAAAATGCATCTAGAATTTGAATGCTTTTTTGTAACACTCACCAAAAAGATTAAAACAAAATTAATTTTGCTAATTATTGTTTAGCAATGACCTGGATTATAATAGATCAAGCACACCTATTAATCTGGACACCATAATTGCATCTTACTTGCCATAATAAAATAATTTAGTTAATTCATACCTTATTTCCAGGTATCATGGGTCTGTATAATGGTATATCAGCCTCCTTGCTAAGACAGTTAACATATTCAACAGCAAGATTTGGAATATATGAAATGGCTAAACAACAGCTTACACCCAAAGATGTAAGTATCAATATTATATTATTTTACAATTAAAATTTATTTATCCTATTGGTACTTTGATTGTGAATCTACACATAATGACGTTGTAAAATAAAAATCTAGTCGCCTGGAATTAAAGGAAACCACATTCTGATACATGTGGGAACAAGTTCTGGCAAAACCTGGCAAGTACCAATGTGAAATTTCCTAGTTCTACATTTAATTAAACACCACATGCAAAACAGAAAGAAAAACATCATGAAGCAATATCGACTATAATATTTCTATTTTTTTGTTTGAAATGACTAATTTACCTCAAAAGAAAGGTGAATTATACTTTAATAGAATAAATTGAGAATATTTGTTTAGAAAATTATGTATTTGTAACAATTTGTACATATAATTTTTCTGCAACGGCTTACCTTTTTCTTCAATATTTTCAGGGTCGGCCTATTCCATTTTACATGTCTGCATTTATAGCTGGGTTAGGTGGACTTGCTGGTGGGTTTGTGGGAAACCCTGCAGATTTGGTGAATGTGCGAATGCAAAATGATATGAAACTTCCACCTGAGCAAAGAAGGAAGTATGTACTCACATTCCTTTTTTTATGTGATTGGGTTTGTCACTAATTCACACATCACATCACCAATTCATTAAAAGCAATCATTCATGCATTGCTCTTCTACACTCACACTCTTCTCCTAATGCAAATATAAGCAAATATCCTATGACTTATTCATTATGTATGTTACTACTTTTATTATGTATATCAGTTCCCCTAATAATTTGCAATTATGACTAAAATAAATAATACAAACTTTTTAAGAGAACATATTTTTAAATATAAGAAAAGCTAAAAATTTAAAATACCTCATTATTGTAATTATTAAAACATAAATTCCATATGGTTGACAATGGATTCTTTTTATTATTTCAGCTACAAAAACGCTGTGCATGGATTATGGAGAGTAGCCGCAACTGAAGGTATAACACGACTTTGGGCAGGAGCCAGTATGACCTGCAGCCGAGCAGCTCTAATGACAATAGGGCAACTGGCATTCTATGATCAAATCAAGATAGTACTTCTATCCACTTCATTTTTCCATGACAATGTTGTGACTCATGTTACATCAAGTTTATTAGCAGTAAGTTTTTTTTAATGTTTTGTTTGTTAAGTCCTTCTTATTTGTATTGCAATTCATTCTTCAGCGACAATCGCGTGTATGAGAGTGTGTGTGTGTATGTCGCTGCTTAAAATAACCAATAGTCAAGACAAATCAAAGAAAACAATAGTTTATTAATTGTAATTTGCGAACTATTGTTTTCTAAAGTATTAAGATTGTTGTAAGGAAAAGATCAAATGCAATTTGACAGCTCATTGTATAAGTAATATTTTTTGTTCAAATGTGTAAATATGCAATAAAAATAAATACAATTTTTATTTGCTTCTCCAGGGAGGTGTAGCAACCACTATGACTCAACCCGTGGACGTCTTGAAAACGCGTGCAATGAACGCGAAACCTGGTGAATTCAGGGGTATCTTACATCTTATCACCAGCACTGCTAAGGAAGGACCGCTTGCATTCTTTAAAGGATACATTCCAGCATTTGTTAGGCTTGCACCTCACACTATATTAACATTCGTATTTTTAGAACAACTTAGAATGAATTATGGTTCTATCAAATGTTAATAATTTTAAGAAAGAATATTTTAGGACAAATGTACTTTTACATAATTTTGTAGAGGTTTTAGATGATGTGGTGTATTGGACTAGATTTTTAGATGCATTTAGTACTTCAATATAATTCGCACATCTGATCCTATAGAATGCCGACATTTGTATCATAATAATCAGACTTCAATGTACATTTTGTACCAAGCTGACTGGCTCATCAGTATAATCTAATCAGTCAGTTTGTAATCTGATGAATACCGCTAAAAGTCGATTTCCTATCACCATATGGTTAGTCCTTTGACAGAATAGGACGAAATATTTTTTAAAGTAATATAATATTTAAATTGATAACAAAGACATTATAATGTCTACCACGAAATTCCCCTTTCTTCTAGAATAACTTATAACTCAGATTTGTTTAACCTGGGATTGACCTATGTAAAGGAAAACGACTGTCAACTCATTGAACGTTTTTATAGTTACCATTTTCTTGGATGCTTTTTATTATTTTTAATGTTTTACAAATAATTTATTTTGGTATTTTGTTAATAGAAATGACAGTTATTTTATGTAAATATGGATAATTTATTTATCCCTTAATTAACATTCATAAGCCAAAAGTCACCATCAAAATTGCTCAAGGCAAATTTCAATAATATACTTCAATACATTTTTCACATATTCAGGTGATATTCAAGTTTTTTTTTCTGAAGACAATACAGAATTTCATAATGATGAAGCAATTGAAAGATAATTTGGTGAATGGTGGCAAAGTGCCTAATTCAAAATTATGATCTGTTATAATTTTTTAATGTAAATTTAAGAATTGGTGTCAAATAATCTTGTCAATATTTTTTACTGTCCCTTATGGGCCAGGATTCGAGATTTTATTTTAAGTACGGTTAATATTCGGGGCTGTGTTACGTTTTCTTTTTTGTCATTATAATGTGCCAAAATCTAACAAAATGGAGACTTCAAGGATTTATAAATAAGACGCTATTCCATTATTATACAATAGTGGTAAATTACTTCTTTTTGAAGTTTATTTTTGGATGTTTTTTAATAATTTGAGATACATACATTCCTCATAAAAATATATTTGCATACTTACTTACTAATTCAATATACCGAGGTCAGACACAATACAGGCTCTTATGTGCGATTTATGACATTCCAACGACGAATGTTTATATTTGTCTCGAGGAGTCGGTATTGTTTTATTTAAGTGTCCTTATTATGTATCCATGATATTGTTATAATTCATAGAGCAGTTTATATTGCCAGCGAGGTAGAGTATCTCATTTTGTTATACATATTAATAGCTGTTACTTGTAAAGTACAGTAAAATCTTCTGGTTAGACTATAGTCTACAAAAAAGGCTTTGAAGAAGTATGAATAAGTTGCGATGCTTATTATCAGAAAGTATACATGACAGTTGTTTTGTCAGTAAAGTATGATAATAATTTTTATAAGTTTAATCATCCAAAGAATGTACCGATGGTGTAATTCTTCCATTCAAGGGTCCTACTAACCTAACCTAACACAGTGATCATTTTGGTCACATATCCTATACAATGTAATATTAATAATTATTATAACCTATTTATTTGAAATTATTTTAATTTTGACACTGTTATTACTATTCTTAGTTAGGTAAATAAATTACTATATTGAATGTTACAAAACAATACTTACATGTAAGTTTATATATTCTTGATAACCAATGTTTAACATTGAAATTAGTTTAATAAATTATTCAAGGGGATTGGAACATGTTTGTTAAAAAATGGTATGACCATGTGCCTACCAAGTCTACCTATTGTGACTGTAATAAATATACATAACCGCCTGAAATCCTAGACATGGATTTAATACAAATAAGCATAAAGTTGTCACTCATATTTCTAAGATATTTTAGACCAGTTGCAAATAACGCCGAAGGGAAACAATCACCATTGTTTAACATTTGGTGAAATATATAAGAAATTCTGTATTATAAGGGCATCATATGTGAGATATACCTACATATATAGTTTTATTTCCTTATGTGTGCCCTAAATGAATGTGTATAGGACAGGCTAGTGGCTAAACACGAGATTGGTTCTATTCCCCTTATCCTTTAAAAATATCGGCCACAGATTAGATATAGCCGGTTTGTGCTCTTATAACTGTGTTAGATAAAATCTACAATCGATAAGTTATTGATGTATAGTAATTGTTTAAATGTTACTAAGTGTTGTGTACTTTAAAGGGAAAATACCTTCTATGACTATACGAAATGTGTCCAATTAGTCAAACAGGACTTATTCAGTAGATTTAGATGATATTTAGAATTCCATTGTGGTGGTTGTATATTAAAATTCTTGTTATTGAACACTGTTTTTTTCTGTACGTTTATCTAACCTGCACAGGTAGCGATATTTTATTTTTATTATGATAGTTATTTTTGTAGTCAATAAGATAGTGACGAATATTATAAACCGTTATACCTGGCTTTTGTGGATTACTCCAAGGCTTTTGACAGTCTCAAACACACAGCGATCTTTACATCTTTACGCTCACAAGATATAAATGAGACCTATATAAAGCTTTTGGAGTTGGTCTACAGAGCCAGCACAGCTTCAATTAAACTGCTTTCCACTGGCCCACCATTTTACATAGAAAAAGGCGTAAAACAGGGCGATCCACTCTCTCCTAATCTGTTTACCTGTACACTGGAGGAAGTGTTCAGGAAACTCACTCTGTCGTGGACATCTAAAGGCATCGTCATCGGTAGTAAAAGACTGACCAACTTGCGGTTTGCTGACGACATCGTTCTTTTCGCGTCTACATCAGCAGAGCTCCAACAAATGCTCCAAGATCTGAGCAGGGCAAGCCTGGAGGTTGGGCTTTAAATGAACATGAGCAAGACACAAGCTATGACCAACAGCACGAAACATAGGATCGAGGTAGATGGGCAAGCTCTACACTATGTCGACGAGTACATCTACTTGGGCCAGTTAGTTTCTTTCGATAACAGGCAGGAGAAGGAAATAGATCGCCGTATCGAGAACGCCTGGAAAAGCTACTGGTCCATAAAGCAATATATGAAAGGGGACCTTCCCCTTTCACTCAAGCGAAAATTAGTCGACATGTGTATCTTGCCTGTCCTAATCTACGGTGCGCAAACTTGGTCTCTCACCGAGTGTCAGAAGTCCAGGCTCCGGGTTTGCCAAAGGGCAATGGAACGTAGCCTGTTGGGCATAAAACGGACCGATCGCATACGGAATACCGTGATACGTTCCAAAACAGGAGTCGCTGATGTGGGCCAAAAGGCGGCAAAATTAAAATGGGACTGGGCCGGACACGTCAGCCGAATGCATCCAGAGAGGTGGGCCACTATTGTCACCCAGTGGACACCTCAGGATGGAAGCCGCAGGCGGGGTAGGCCCCGGAAAAGATGGCGTGACGATCTAGACGCCTATCGTCGAGACTGGTGGACACGGTCGAAGGATCGGGAGGTGTGGAAGCGAGATGGGGAGGCCTTTGCCCAGCAGTGGGACAATATAGGCTAGTAAAAAAAAAAAAAAAAAAGATAGTGACACAATCAGATTCGGGCTCGTGGTAACGTAAGTACCTAATAACGTAGTGTCTTTGAAGTTGTGAGTCCTTCCTAAAAGACTACTGCCCAGTCGTACCCAATATTTTACAAATGAGGTCCTAAGACCGAACCCTGTGGAAAATTGCACGCCATTAAAGTTGGCCTTTACCAAACAGAGGACGTCGACAATCTGATGACGATGAGGGCAAAAAAGTATGTTAAAATAAATAAAACAAATTTTAAAATTTATCATTTATATACCTTTTGACATAAAATAAAGTGTGCATTAAACAATGGCACTAAATTAGTGGTGGGACTTTTATTTTAATTTAAATAATAACGACTCAAAAACTATTACTTATCTAACACCTTACATTTAAATCTAGAATTAATTAAGTCATTATAAAGCCAAATGAGGTTCATAGTTCAAAACACTGGGTATTTTTCCGGTGTTTTCTTTATTAAATTGTGTGCAGATCATTCACTACGTCGCTGTTTCGCGCTCGCCCGTAGCATAAGGCTTTGGCCGGCTGGCTCAATTAAAATAGTAGCAGGGCCCTGCATCCAAGGCTCACCATCCACTTGCATGGCGCATGATCCTTCCAACTCAATCTGAAATATAAATACAGATATAGTGATCTGTAATACTAACATGTTGACTAGCGCAATCATTAACAATCCCCAGTTGGGAACTATGGATTGCCCACTTTTAATTGCTATTATATTATATTTCTTATTACTTGACATTTATTACTTATTACTTGACATTGCTTTTTAGAATCATTATTTAAATTATTCGAATATTTCACCTTGAGACTAGAAGCCTGTGCAAAACGATAGGGTTCTGCTAAACCGCACTGCAATCTCGCAATATGGAATGATGATGAAATTCCTACCACCTGTAAAAAATAATAATTAATCGTCACCTTTATTCAGCTTCATCGTAAACGTTTAATTAATGTTTCTTTTTTTAAAGAACAATTTGGGTTCAAAAGTCTTCTGATTTTGGTCCACTTGAAGTACCGGACAGCTAAAGGTTCTAACTTACAGTTCTATAGAATATATCCTAGTCATTATGCTAGGCTAAAGCATGTCAATTTACAACAACAAAGTAGATTGAACTAATAGAACCTTATGACTTGCACTCTGCAAAGCCGGACATACCTAGTCATCAGTAGTGACCATAGAAGAGAGACAGAAACCGAGAGAACCAAGAAAGATAAACTATTTTCATGCTTCCTTCATTCGCGTAATTTTAAATAAAAGTAAGGTGCAATACAATAGCAATAACAATTAAAAATAAATATCCTGATATACCTCCAGTTTTCCATCGTGGATGCTTTGTTCTCCCACGTCTTCTTCACTTCCCATACCTAAAGGTAATTAATGAGTTTGTTTAATGACGCACTTTAACATGCAAGCAATGAAGTTCCTACTGCAATAAAAGAAGTTTCAACAAGCTATAAAAGACCATTTATAATTAAAACAAAACAAAAGCTTGTGTGGGTACGAAAATTAAGGTTGTAATGATTACTTAATCTGAGAAAATGTGTTTGGAAGCAATCAAGATTATCTACTTTAATTTTATGAAAACAATACCTTAATTTATTAAAACCTACGTAGAAATATTGCAACATAAATGATGATGTTAGTAATAATATCAGTATTATGCAAAATATTAAATATTTAATTTGGGTACGGCCGGTCTCAATAGGTAATCTATTCGATTATTCCGATCGCAACTAGAGACAGATAAACTTTTTAGTTTTTTTTTTTAATAATTTACGAAAGCTTGTCATTGATACTGGCCCGTTAAAAGGCTACTTACTCCAAAGATCAACGCCGGCTCCCCAGGACGGGATATTGAGCGCGACCAATGCCTGCAGCGGCGGCAGTGTGAGCGGGTCCCGCGCCCCGCCCACCCACACACACAGACGCCGCTCTAGGCCTCCACACCCACCGTCATCTAGAGCACGCCCCACTCCCAAGAACGCGTATGCCATCTAATTACACATCAATAAATAAGTTCTACGGGTGTTAATTTTAACGAGGGACATATTCAAGGGGCTGGTTTTGGTGCTCAATTAAGTAAGTACTACAACTTCGTCGTCCGTCAATGGGATCAATATCTAAATCTCAAAAAATAAATTTATTTCCCCATACAAATCGCAACAGCGGATTGATCATTTTTGCATGGAGAAGGAAAAAGTTTTTTTACATCTCGATATGGGTCTTATGGGAAGAGTTGTTTTATTTGAGCACCAGAATCCTTCACGAAACCAGTCCTTGAATATGTCCCTCGTTCAAAAAAACACCTGTGTAGTTACATTTAAGTTTAATAAAGTCGCTAATTCATCTAGATTCGCTTGAATTCATCGCGATTTCTGTATTGCTTTGAAAGGTTCTGTAATAAACTTACAAGAGCAATCGACTTGTACGAGTAAGTTTTAAAATTTTTGCTTTTAGAACGAATGGTGCGGTCAAAATAGTTGGATGCCTGAAGACGGCAAGGCAAAGTTTTCGAGCCCAATAAGCACTTTTAGATAAAACAAGACCGATCCAGAATGTGATAGCGGGACGATCTTATCAAGAGTTTTTGTGAAAGGCTTTTGCCCAGTATTAAAAGAGACAGAAAAAGTGTATAAACAGCCAGTCTGTTGCTCAACGTATTGCAAGTTCGGTTCCCACACAGTACAACTCTACTTGAAACTCTAAACTACTCAAACTATTTGAAATTGTATGCTTGCAACACCCACGACACCGGAATTACCCCTAGTGTTGAGGCAACAATTAATAAAATGCATTATGAAATTGACTAAAAGCTTTCGTAAATACAATTTTAATGTCGTTTCATTAAATAACTTACATAATTAAGTGTTCGACTAGCGTATCTGTAGAGGAACTGCGAGCGTGCATGGTGAAAATCCAAAGCGACTTGTGCGTCGACTCCGATACTGGCGTAGTTGTACGCGTACAACACGCGGGGCTGACGGTACCGAGCCAGCCTACTGCGCTTCGGCATTATTGTTACTTTCCATCTGTAAATTCAGGGTTTATTCTTTATTTACGAAAATCAATCCATTTATAAGCATTTTCATAACCACCTTTATATTTGTGATCATAATTATTATTTACAATTTAATAGGTAGGTACTTATATGACACTGAGTTTCACCAGTTAGTTTCCTTATGTATCCGGTTATTTCAGAACTAAAAATGATTATCTTGATATGGAATTAATAATGCGTAATTTGAATTTTATTATTTTACCTGTCTAATGGCTGGTGATTTGCTTGTCTTACAGATTGAATGATGTTGTGTGCATCCAAAGAGGTATGGCCTCCAGCGCCCCAACCCAACACACGAGACAAATCGTTTCCAGTGCCCATGGGCAAAATCGCAACAGCAGCCTGTATAAAAAATACAAGTTTAAAGACCATATCTTGATGCACTTCATTTAGTACTAAAAATATTTTTTTCTTTTGAAGAGGGATAATCATGAAATTAGAGAGCGACAGACACAATGCCAAGACATTTGAGAACTTATTTCCATTAGGAGTCGTTAAACATACACTACTTAGGTATGAGTTGTATTTGGGACACCATTTTCAAGTCCCATAGAAGTTGCCAGTTTTGCTACAATAATAAGTTAACTGAGATAACTTTGCTCTCTTTAAAAATAACATATACCTACCTACTTATTATGTGAAATACCTTGACATGTGGAAAAGAGGACAATGAGTTCATAACCCAAGCGACGGTGCCGTCTCCGCCCGCGACGAGTATACGACATCTCGGTGGCAACCATCGCACCACATTCTCGGGAGAAGTTGAACTAATATCCACCACCTGAAAAAAAAACATTTTTAACAAAGCTGTTTTATTGTTTTTTTTTTTTGTGAGGGTAAAATCATCAAATGACTTCTCCCACCCAGGGCGGGGCAGGAGGGAGTGTCAGATTCTTACTGATTAAAAACTGTTCCTTCTCCTGCTTTAGGCCGAGGCCGCGGTGACTTTTTGCCCTTGCCCCGCAACCCCGGCTGAACATCAGCCATATAGGGCCCCGTGTGTTCTGGTCTATTGGCTTTGTGAGGCGCGCGCGGAACGCTGCGCGCTGTACGCTCGGGTCTGGTTCTGATCGGGCGAAGAGCTACCCTTACTCGCCGTCCACAGATTCGCGCTTACGGTGGCCGGAGATCATCTCTCGATACCCGACACCTGGAGTGTCGCCTACTGCGGCGGCTGGGGCGTGAGGAGGATAGTTTCCTCACGCGCTCCGCCTCCTTGTTTGCAAGCATCACTGCTTCGCAAAAAGAAGAGACAGCCTCCCAGTTTTTCTCGCTCGCTCCATGACCTCGACAAGCTGTTTTATTGATACAGTGCCAACTACTGAACGAAACTTCCCGCCTGGAGAACACTAATAGATTCATTGGTAATCTAGATCAAAATAAATAAAAAAAACTAAAATAAGGTAAGACTGAAGTTGTAACAAAAATATTTCAAATTATTTAAAAAAGCAAATTGCTTTCGTGGTTAACAAACTTGAAAGACTTTTGAAACTCTGTCAGTAAACATGTTGTCTCCTAAGTTTAGTGCCAGAGTTTGATAATGCAAACAGTCATCTGTGTGTATAAGGTTCATTAATCTATCATGTTCATGTCTACAGGTATTTATACATTTATCAATGTCAGGTTGCATAATAAAAATAATTTCTTGTAAGATGTACAACACATTATACAAAAAAATATTTTAGTTATAGTTATATCAGTTTAGTTTACAAGAATAACATTACTTATAATAACTAGCTTTTGCCTTTGGTTTCGACCGCGTTTCAGATGATAAGTAGCCTACCTTATTTCAATCTAACTCTGTGCCAAGTCTCATCAAAACTCATTAAATACTGTAGTTGTAACATAAAAGTGTAACAACCATTCCTCCATCCATACTTAAAAATTTCGCGTCTCTAATATTAGAGTGAGTAGTCAGGTATATCGGGTTCATTTAATTTTATAAACACAATTAAAAATAAATAAATCGTTAAAATTATTAGTGACTGGTGTTAAAATAAATTGCTCACTTGAATAGGATTCAGCAGGCCCCTGAACAGAGACAGTACTTCATCACTTCTATTGCTTCCAGACTTGGGATTAGCTGAAACACAGTTTATATGAAATTAGTTATTTTTTACAGGGCAGCTGTCAAGGGCACAGTCCTATAGCAATTATTTTAATTATTACTTCCATATCTAATTCAATTATACTTAATCAAGTGTGTACCTAGCATAGTGTTTGATAATAGGAATAGATTTAATCCACATTATTCAAAAAAAAAATCAATTAGGCTAAGTTAGCTAACTTTGTACATTTCATTAGAAACTACATTGAAATATTGTTTATGGGTAAGCTAATTAAAATTTGACCACTGACTTGTGACTTTAACAGGTAAAATATTTACTTTTAATCCATTTACAATGAGGAAGGTTAAGTAACTATTATATTAAGTAATTTAAGTCCCAGTTGTAACAGAATGTGAAGGTCATTTGTCATGTAACATGAATAAATAAACTTATTCTGGACAAATAAACAATTTTCAATTGATTTACTTACTAAAAGGGAATAAAAAATAGACATTCTTTAAATAAACACCTACCTACTATAATTAATGGCTCCCAATCATTGTCACCTGGATGTTTAATGTTAGAAACAACTCCTCTTTCTAATTGTACACATGCAGGTGGAATTATAATGTTCCTGTACTTTTGAAAATCACATTGCTGAAAAATGTTATTTACATTAAACTTAAAAGGAAACTTCATTATTTGAAGGCAGAGACACAAAAATATGTCAAAAAAGCTGAAAGTTACACACACAGAAGTTACAGAAAGGGTAATGAAACATTAATATTGATATCAACTAAGGAGGTTTAATAAGATTATCTATTCATTTACCAGTATTTTTAAATTCATTATGCAGAGTTGTTATACAATTTTCACACCACACCTACCACCAAATCACACTCCTTATTTTAGTCAAAAGTTTAAAAATTTAAATAAGTTAATTTATTATGAGTTTGTTGATTTACCTCATTCTCAAGAGCATTTGTATGTGCACACAATTTTGTTCTTTGACACCATGTACAGAAATATTTATTTAAACCTTCTTCATGTTGGTCCTCACTATCTGAATGGCTTGTTCCGACTAAAAATAAGAATGGTAAACAACAAAAAAAGTTTCTCTAAAAAATATTATTGCAGTTACATCAATATTTAGTATAAATATGTTCCACATGTTTTTGTATCCACAAACACAACAAGAAAACTTACCATGAACCCAGTGATGAAAAAATGGTTTATCTGAGGGCCATACCACTGATTTACATCTTAATTTTTTATCTATAGATCTGTGACACTTTTTGCATGCACTAACAGCGCAACATTCACAAAATAGTCCCACAACTGGTAGCATCAGTTTACAACAATTTGTGCACTGTAATGAATGTAAATAAATGTTTAGTGAAAAATAAAACGTAAATATTTAGAAAGTCTGAAGAAGAAATAAACTCACGTATATATTGTAGGGTACTGATTTATTACATTGGATGCTTCTCCATGTATGACCTCGAGTTCTATACCTTGTTCGCATATAATTGTTTTCAGAAATTAAGGAATGAAAAATTCGATATACCAAATAAATGAGGAACGCTCCTCCCACTAAGAAATAATGATTAGAAATTAAAGCATTATTTAAATCAAAAAGGGTTTCAATTTTTGATTCATCCATTATATTACGTTTTATTTCAAAATAATAGTTAGAATTTATCAAATGAGAGAGAAAATCAATAAGCAATCTATGTCATTGTTTACATTATTGATGGGAATATGGAAATTCGAATTTAACTTCGGGGACCGACACTGACACTGACGATTTTACTTTATTTGACAGTGACTTTAAGTTCACACAAACTGCAACTGTCACTTAGTTGCCAAGTTTTACTTTTTATTTTTAGTCGGCACGTACCTACTGGCTTTTGGGTATTTGGACTACAAGAAAATGAGCTACTTGTTTCTTTTATTCTTTTTATTACGGTTATTTTAAAAGGCAAAATAATACACTTTTTTATAATTTTGCTTTATTATTTGAGTATCCACTAATTACTTTATCTAACCAAATTAGACAAAACATTTTTCAGCTTAGCAGAACACAAGTCAAGGGGTGTCTTTTTATCTTTGTTAGCTAACTCCAAATCAGCTCCAGCTTTGACCAACATGCAAGCTACAGCTTCTCTGTCTTCTTCACAGGCTATGTGTCTGCAAATTAAATTAATATTAGCACACCATTTTAATTACTTTTCCAGTCTAAATACAAATAAGTAGAACAAAAGCATAATACTTACAAAGGTGTGGAACCAGTAGAGTCACACATGTCTAATTTTATTTGAGGTGAAGCCAAAAGTAGTTCAACAATATTGTTTCTCCCTTGTGCTGCAGCACGGTGTATAGGTGTTGCATTCAAAACATCAGCATCATTGACATTTGCATCAAAGTTTATTAGCAACTTTGATACCTGAACAAACATATAATTCATTGAATAGGATTGTTAGTGTAAAAGTTTCTATTGTTTTCATTATACACAAATTACTTTTTACCTCTAAATGACCTTTTGAACAGGCATAATGTAAAGATGACTGGCCTCTGGTTGTCTTTTTATTCACATCAGCACCTTTACTGAGTAACAATTTTACCACTTCTATTCGTCCCGCTGAAGAGGCTAGTATTAGGGGTGTTGAATTGGTGTCGTCTAAAGGATCAATAGAACTTCCTAAGTCTAACAAAAAATCAACTAAGTTTTGATTTCCACCCAGTGCTGCCCAATGAATAAGTAGCCGCTGATTCTGAAAAAAACAAGTATTGGTAGGTACCTATAGCTAAAAATATATAAGAAATGAGAACGAATCTAATGTCAAATCTTGATTAATGTCTTCTTTTATCACACAAGTTAGTTTAACCAAGTTGATCAAAATTTTATTATAGCGATCGTAAAATCACTTAGGTATAATGGATTAGATGAACATCTGTCAGCCGGTCTTCTTTTGGGATCATGATTAATCAAAAAAATGTAAGTAAGAATCTTACAGAATCTGGTGCATTTATCAGTCCATGATCCTCGTCGACCTTTACTTTAACTTGGTTAAAATCACCTCTATATGCAGTTTCATAGACCGATCCAATAGACATTTTATATATAGTATTAATCAAGTATCACGTAAAGCAAATTAATTTGTAAACAATGAAATGCTAAAAAATGCTGTCTAACGTCAATACTTTTTGACATTACTTGTATTGTAAAACGTCAAAGTCATCTGAAAATCTAATAAAATAAGCTGGATGTACACAGAAAAAACGTTATGCAAAAAGATATTATATTTGTGATCAAAAGTATCAGTACACTTCTTTTAGGATTATCGATCAAGTTAAAAAGTGATGGATAATAAATACTCATTCGTTACATCGTTGTTTTTCATACCTAACTAATATTTTGTTCCTTTATCTATTCTCCGATCTTGATACTTTCCGCTTACTATAGAGCTAAATACAAAGGCTAAAACTACAAAATAACATATTACAAAACATTCATGTTACAAAGCCGAAGAGTGTGTTTGTTAGCGAACAATTATTTTTGTGTAAGATTATTATCAAGCTAAACAACTGGTGAAATTATGCAGTAACTAGTATTTAATACCTTCAAATTTTGAATTCAACTTTCTTGGAAGGGTTTAACAGAAAAAAAAAGTAAGTTTCTCTTTAAAAAAAGCATCCCTAGTCGAACAACAGCGCTGTTCCGCTGTTCCTATATGTCTTGCCGCAAATTTTATGTTTTTATCATTATATTATCAGATAATTATGTACTAGAAAATGGTAGTATACCTACATCTTAAATAAATATGATCAATAACCTTCCTTTATTGAAGTGAATTCCCACCCTATATGTCATTAGATAGCAACACTGAGAATTGTTTTGTTTATATTTTAGTGCATCATGCGAGTGCCAAGTCGAGTGGTGTGATGTGTGGTACAAGGTAATGCCATCGCCCGTCAGGCGTCAAGTATAGCGAATGACGTTTCTCTTCGACACAGTTTTATAAAATTGAAAAATACATTGTGGTAACAATCTCTTTCTATATGTAAGATATGTAGTGCATAGTTGACGGGAATTGATTCTATATTGTACCGATAGTTACGTAGTTGCGGCAATTTGAAGCCGTTTATTATAAAGTCTCTATTGAATAGATGGTTGTTATGTCGGTGTTGTGCTAACTGGCAAACAATAAAGCCATAAAGTGAATCAGGACTCAAGAAATAAAATCGCAGTTGCTGAAAGTACTCGAAGCCGTGTTGTCTAGACAGGTAAGAATATAATTTTATCATTAGGAACTTGGATATTTTAGTGATCTAAACGTTTTTACTATTCACACTTGTTTATTTACAGAATATAGTTTGGGAGCGACGATGACGTACTATAACTATTATGACGGCAGTAGGATATTCTTATTCCTATCAACCAGAATTGGGCTTCCTTTAGACTTAGTAAGTAACATTATTCTTTACTTTACATAGAGTAGTAATTAAATAAACTATTAGCTACGCTAGAAACACTTAGATGACAGGTAGACCGCTTTGTATTAGACTGGCTATAAAATGCAATTCTTTGTAGCACAATTTTTTGAATTGTAGAATTTCAGTAACATTATTTTGCTTTTTTTTATTAAGAAGTAGGATTGAAAAATATTTAAATTCCATCCTGTATTACTTCACTAAAAATGCAGGTCATATTTTTACACAATTTGAAACTAAAAGATGTTTCAATAATAACTTGCATTTGAGTACACTTTATACACAATGTCTTAGAACATATTCTTTGATTTTCTATAAGTACAGACATGTCTTCTATCTATTTAAAAAAGTAATAGTAATAAATAATTAAATATAATATTTTTTTTAAATATAGGTATAAAGTATGACAGTTAAATATTGATATTATTTAACTGTCATACTTTGATGTTTAAGTTTATTTATTTATTTATTTAATAAAGGTACACCAACAGCTTCTGTATATAGCAAATTAAATAAAACAATGAAATATTAGGTTTTGGCCTTATACAGTCGCCAATTACAGGTAACCAGCATTCTTAAAAATAAAGTGATAACCTAGTAGAGTAAGAATGAAACTATCTATTACAATAACATAATTAGAATATTTTTAATACGAGATCTAAAATTATTTAAGTTACACTTACCATTCCTTATTTTTAACTTAATAGGAAAATTAAGTAAGAAAATTAGAAAGTGTAATCCTTTTTTATTGCAAAGAAAAAATTAAATACTTCTAGTAACTTATGTTTTTGATCTTCTCATTTTTTGTGAGTAGACGTTTGATTGGTCTTAAGTGTATAATTGACACAAAAACACTATCAATTACACAAAATTAATTCATATTTTTCTCATATATTTCATTGCAGTGTACAATACATAATTACAAAGGATAACTTACAAAAATGTGTAAAATGGGCAGTCTCGTTGCACAAAGCACTTTCTATCAGACAACCTTTGGATGAAGCCGTTATATGAGTTTCAAAACTAAATGGGTTGTCAATGTACAATGCTTAAAAAAAACAAACTATTAAAGATACTGCATAAATATGTATTAATAGTTTATACACATAACTAACATAATAGCATTTCAAATCTTGATTAAGTTATAACTGGGCAATGATAGATAACAAGAAACTTTTATTGTAGCATTTGACCTCAAAAAAATATCAACAGACCAGTGTGGCCATGTTTTTACAACTATAACAAAAAAACTATACATTATCTTTATTACCAAGTAATAAAGTTGATGTTTGATTTACAAAAACAGATAAGAGTTTTCTGATTTTTACAGACACCATTACAGCTAATGTACTTTAAATAAATTATTTTTTTAGTTTTTGTGATGTTATCCCCACATTTCTCTTTTGTGGGACCACTAGTTAAGACAACCATGCTTTGGCGAAATATGTCGGCTCTACCACACGATCTCACTGAAAACCAGCTCTAGACAATGCGTTGTTTCGCCACGCGAGATTAAATCAAATCCCTAACCCCAACAAAGTCTGGTATCGCATCGAGCGGCGCCTGATTTACATACCAGATGATAGGTCCGCTCATTTGCCGCCCAATCCTTTAGAAATGCGCAGAGGTAGTTTTCCACTGGCAATTCTTTTCGTTGCAAAAATATTCTAATAGTCGTTAAGTATCTTATAAATTATCTTGCCAGAATGTTTTTCCACAAATCAAGACTTAAAAATTTATTCAAATTAATGTAATATTTAAGGTGATTACTAAAGACGTACTTACTTATGTAAGTATAGGCAAAATGAGTAGTGACTGCATAAGAATATGACTGCAATTCAGTTTATAATCTTGTTGTTACTTTGAATGTTAGCAAAAATATTTACTGATATGCGAAATACCTCCCCCTTGTTACACGTGAATCACATGTCTCGTTAGAATCAATGTTTTTCAATTGCTGTCTCAAGGTCTCGGGATTCGATTCCCAGAACAAACAAGTACAAGCAGTGATTCTTTTATCACACGTTATGTAAGTGAGTTGCATAACAATTCTGTGACGATTTCCTAAAACTGTTTACCTGCTCCGTTTAAAACAAGTTTTGAAAGAGAGCTAAAATAGAGAACCAATTATAATAATCGTCGAATGTGGCACATTTTATTTATTAGTCTTAATAAAATAGCGCTTAAGTCACGATTTTGGCATTTATACTGCTGTCGAAAGCATTAAACATTATACAACATAAAGATACAAAGTAGAAATAAAAGAGGAAACGATGAAGTCATTATCTACAAGTATAATAAGAATTAAAAATAATTATATACCAAAACTTTTTCGAAGGAATTCACATCTGAACGTATTTTTCATTTTAAAGTTTAAATATTAATTAAAATTGTATCGGCCGAAATTAACCGGGATCGGGAGTGTTACGAAAATCTGAAGGAAAAGAAGTTATACTGTAGTCTGTCTTGTGGAAATTCCTGCCATTTCCTCTAGCACAAAATTTTATACTTAGTAGAAACCCAACTACTATATTTTTTTATTCCCAGCCGCCACTAAATCTCAATCAAAAATAAATTAGGAATGTAAGAATTGTAATCGTAGGTACTTGAATATTGAACCGAATTTTTTAAAACTACGTGCTGCATATATACGGATCTTATGATTTTCTTATATTTAAAAGCGGTTTATCGATTATTCAATACATTTTTAAGAACAATCTAACAGATATGACGCATGAAGTTATCGACACTTACAGCCGGGGTTGCGGGTCAAGCACAATAATATACCGCGGTCTCAACTTAGAGCAGGAGAAGGAACGGGGTGGCTTTAAATTAGTAAGAGTCTGACATTCCCTCTCTTCCTACTCAAGGCGAGAATGGTCATTAGACAATGTTTCCCTTCGAAACAAAGGTATCGACTCCAAACATTTAGAAAGTTGTCGATTGTCGAGTGTAGATTATTTAGATCTAGAGTATCTGAACTGCATAATGTAAAATATTGAAAAGCCAATACTAGCACCACAGAAACTGACAGTCATTATTATAAGGATTGAAAATTTTACTTTATAACTCAATTAGTGTTGCCCAAATTCAGTCTTGGTCTTGCAGTCTTGGTCTTGTTCTTGCGTTTTTGCAAGACCAAGACCAAGAACAAGACCGCGTATTTTTTGCAAGACCAAGACCAAGACTGACCGTGCAAGACTTGAGCAAGAACAAGACATAGCCTGCAAGACTCTTGCGTCTTGCAGCTAGGACTTAGCGCTATTTCACTGAGTAGTTAGGTGTAACAGTTCGGTGTTAAGGTAGGTACGCTTAGGAATTCTATGAGACGCAAAAAACTGTATCAAATAATATGAAAAACTGGACCTATGCTCATTACGACTAATACCATAAACATAGCGAATAAAAAAATATCTATTAAAATCAAACTGAGTGCATGTATAGTTATGTTTTAACCATCGGCACTTTGATAATGCGGCATCAAAGGTTTTATACTTACTTCTCAAAGAAATTTGCCGCTTTTCGGAAGTACATGGTTATGATACACGCGCCGGCAGCTTCTTTTGAAATCTAAAACAATCGTTGCCGCCACGCCGAAATCATAACATTTGACACTATTTGATTGCCGCCATAGGGCGTAGGTATACTCATGCAAAATAATTTCGAATTTTAAAAGTACCTACAGGTGTTCCAAAGAATAAATAAGTTTCAGAGTGTTTAGAATGAAAATGAATACATTATACTGATCACGCAAGTAGTATTATGATTAGGATAAAATGGTAAGGATAGGTAGTAGAGGTCATATTAATTCATTCTAGTAAGTATATACAGGGTGTAAGGGACAGCCCTCCACAAATTAACAGGGTGCATTCAGCTCCTTATTCTGAATCATATTCCAGTGAAAATTCTTTCAGGAAAATTTTCAATTTTTTTTTCGTTTTTTCAGTTCCTACACCTCTATTTCAATGTATAATTACATTCTATGTATGAAGAATAACATTAATGTAAATAACACAGCTAAAACAAAAAAATACGCAATGGTTGTGTGAATTCTCTAAAGAACTACGCATGAAATCAGCTGTTCAATTCCTACCTAGCGCGAGTCGTTTGAACTCACCGCACCGCGGTCACGGCGCAGCGACTCGGCGCCCCACCGCGCCGATCGCCGCGCCGCCGTAGGTATACCTACGATCCCGTCCAACGTACAGAATAGCTGCGTCCCTTTCTGTCGATTGAACCAGTGTTGCCAACTTTTAACTTTTGTTACCTCTTCTACCTTTCTACCTTTGTAAACGAAAATGTTAGAACTATCGAAATTTATCTAAAACTTGAGAACTCCTTTGCATTCATAATCACATTGATGAGATTTTCATTAATCAATTAATGAAAATCTTGTCGTGCACATAAATTGAATAAAAAATAAATAAAGATTAGTCTAGTTTTAATTTTAAAGCATTTACAAATACTACCTAATTTATTAATTGATTGTTCTTTTTAAGCGATTACTGGCTAGTTTTTAAACTACTTACAGATTTACATGGCTTCACAATAGCCATAAATTGATAGTCGAGCCAGAAATTAAACACAATCTCCCTGGAATGGAAGCACAGCTTTCTATCACACTGCACTTTTATTATTCTAAATTAACTAAACAATGAAATTAGAATTAAATTGATTTAATCAATTCATTTCTCTACAAAAAATAACAGAATGATAAATTACGACCATGCATAATTTTTTATTTTTTACCCCGAAATTTTGTACCTAATTTTCGTGTAATTGGCAACAACAGATTTATGTTTGTGTGTGTCTCATCACATGCAGTCGCCATTGTGCCTTGCTGCGATGTTACTGTTTGTGTACGGATCGCTCGCGCATTCGGCTTAAAAGTTTTGTTATAAGTAGTGTTGTTAAGTTTTATTAGTTATGTAGTGTGTGAAGTGTAGTGAAGTTTTGTTGTAGAAATTGTGCGAAATTACTACCTAGGTACGTTTAGCGCGCGTAATTATGGGGAGATGATAATGTGTTGTAGTAGTGTAGGTATCCTGACCGTCGGCATCCATCAGACTCCAGGATAATTACTGGTGACTATCAACGCTTGCTAGAAAACCAGCCCATTGTTCCCAGACAAAAAGGCGCCGGAAGACCAATACCTACGTGGATTTTGGAATTGGTTCGCTAACGTAAGGAGACGCTACCACTTACCAGTGCTTTCCTATTTAAACGTAGTTTAGGTAGGTTTGGACCGCAACCGTGGCCAGCACGATCCCCAGACCTAACCCATTTGGACCCCTTTTTGTGGGGTTACGTAAAAGAAAAAGTGTTTGTGAGTGCGTGTGCAAGTGAGTACGAAATGCGAGACGGCATCACAAATGCTTTCCAGAGCCGGAAACCGGAGCGATTCTAAGGTACCTACGCATTTTTCTTTTTTTATCATTTATCAGTTACCATGTTATGATTGTTAGATTTTCTTTTGTTAGTAATGCGGCTATCTTTTAAATAATAATTTATTGTTATTAAAACGTGGCGAGAGCGCGATTATTAAATTGTCTTTTGTAAGTAATGCGGCTATCTTGTAAATAATAATTTATTGTTATTAAAACGTGGCGCGAGCGCGACCGTTTGTCCGAAAGGTAAGGTCGCGGCGCTGCCCATAGTGTAAAGTAATAATACTAAAAGCGCTGCCGTTCGCTGCGTGCGTTTGCGGTGGTAGCGATACATTGCGTGTAAGGTAATGAAACAAATCGGTTTAATTGGATTCCCATAACGTTCCTGAAATAATTTCATGTACCGGTCAACTTAAGACGATATACTGAATCCACCCTATCAGTTTGAGGAAGGCTGTCCCTTACACCCTGTATTATAATATTGATTACTTATATGGTTTTAAACTAATTACTTAGGTCCTATTATTGTACATTTAGTCATTATATTTCTTAAGTTTTTACAAGAAAAAATAGCAAAAAAGTGTTCAAATATCACCCGTTTAATAAATATTGTAGCTACTTTTAAATATACTTGAAACTGCTGAGAGGTTATTTTCTAAAGCATCATTAGTAATTAGAAAACATAGAAATAGGTTAAGTGATGAGTCAGCCAGATGGTTACTTTGTATTAATTCTTGGTCAAAAAAATTGATATAAAGTATCATAACTTAATGATAAAGCTGTTGATTTGTGTTGTATTTTAGTTTTTATTCAAATAAATGATAAATCGTAAAACTCTTTTATTAAATTTCTTATAAGTTGAGGGTTCAATCTCTTTCTAGACAGATAAGTATTGTTCTTTAAAATACAGTCAAGTTATTGTAATTAATTTGTTTTTTACGTGTTTTAGCAAATGTTTATTCAGCAAAATCATAAATGTTTATTAAAAAACAGTTACTTCCACGGAAAACGATATATTGGTCAGTTGATTTTTCGAATTTCTTATCAAATCTTCAGTTATTTATTAATCTGCTTGATCTTTACTATGGCTATGTTAATTCAAGCTCACAATGTTCCAATTCTATTACGTTTTTCTAAGATTTAAAGTAAGTAAACTTTAATAAATAGTAATAGACTAATAGGTAATTGCAAGACTTGCAAGACTCTTGCTGCAAGACCAAGACCAAGACCAAGACTGGGAGCGCAAGACCAAGACCAAGACCAAGACCAGGTGTATTGGCGCAAGACCAAGACCAAGACTGGCTAAGTCTCGTCTTGTTCTTGCATTTGGGCAACACTAAACTCAATAAAACGCCATTTAATTTATAAAGGAAAAATATCTAATCAATTAAGATTATTTTATCCATTTAATAGACATACAATTTTTGATAATAAAATATGAAATTTCTGTTTCGTAGAATGCCTTTTAAAAATATATATTTTAAAATTAATATAATCAACGAAGGTATTAATCCTCGTCAGAACGTGGCAACAAAAGTTAGTGAGAAATCAATGACGGTATGAAAGTATCGCTTCCTGTGATGATTTATTTTCCAGTCAGTTTGTTGCCAAGGGCAAACGTATTTCCAGATAGTACGAAAATAATTTTATTATTTTTTCTAAATTTTATCAGTTTCATCGATGATTTTATTTTGTTAATACTACACATACAGGAGTAGGCAAAGGAGTTGGAAAAAAATCAGTAGAACAATCCCTGGCTAAAAATCTTTGCAGTGCCTCCGATGTTTTTTACGACTAACAAAAAAAAAGTTAAAATTCTTATTGTTGTACACAACCATACTGTTGTACTCTACACAAGTACCCTTGCGATAACTGATGCTTTCTGATAATGAGGACAAACACCTCGATTAAATAAACATAGGTACTTATTGTCATGGCTTTACGTATAAAGATTACTGTTTCCTTTGTATACGACGTATGATTAAATGATGTAGTATATATATACGAAAGTAAATAAAATAATGATATTATAGGTTTACCTACGATAACGGGGAAAGAGTCTTAATTGAAGACTGATCAAAAGGAAATTCGACTTTATAAGAAAGTCTAAGAGAAACTTTCTGCATTTTGTTCTATAGTCACACATTTATACAATGCGGTCTACCTTCTGAATACATACGATAAAAACTTGCTTTATAGTTGAAGTTCGGTACACACGTACAAATTCACTTTACTCATTAGGATGTTTATAACATTTAGAGTGTTTTAGTTTAGGTAGCTCGTAGTTGCTAAGTTCTTAGATTACATAGCATAGGTACTCTGATATCATTGATTTATTTATTGCTTTGTACCAATTACACAATTTACTCGTTGCACTTTATTCATTAGTATTATTTTTTTTCAATAGGTAAATTTTTTGATCGCACAAGTAGCTGCACTATGCCTGGCAAGACTGTTTCGAAAACCATTAAGATATGCTTCGCCGGAATTTCGACATTCTGTGTGCCTTGTTATAGGTTTAACGATGGGGTATTTCTGTTTTGGAAGGTAATTATTTTCGTTTCATTTTCTCAAACATTATATGCATGCGTATTTAATTTGTTTTTGTGTTGTTTGATTATTGTTGTAGCGATGAGGTAAAGGTCAAATAATTACAATGAAACACCTACCTACTTAATATTTGTTTCGAATTTCTGTCACTGTAATGTGATTTGTTTGGTTTTATGTACTAAATCCTTTTAATAAGTATTAATTATTATCCCCATCATTTATTTTTTATGATAAATGTGTCTGTGTCAATTGAAATTTATTGCTTAACTTTAAGAAGTTATATAATTGTGTTTAAGACGAACATTAAGTTTTTTTATGTTTATCAACAAAATAATAGTTACTGGCAAATTTCCATTGCTTTGCAAGCTTTGCCCGAAGAAAATGATGGAAATAAATTTCTATCTTCTTCATGTAGAAATATTCTAAATTCCCAAACCATTTACTATAAGATTTGAGCTGCATATGATTCACCTTTTATATACTTTTAGTGAGAAATAAGTACCTAATAGTCTAGAAAACAATGGACCATATAAAAAGAAATACCTGACCCAATGACGTAACAAATTAAGGTTACATGTAAATAAATTTTAATAGATTGCAATAGATAAATAAATAAAATATTAAGTACAACAAATAAAACTGTTTTGTAATATTTTATAAAGAAAGTTACGTTGTTTAGGATTTACTAAGTACTGGCCATTATGCTGTACTAAATATTTTGAAGTCCTTAGTGTCTTTTTTACTTTTATATGGTTTTACTTTTGTTTGTTATTTACACAAAGAAGTCATTTAATAAACTCTGAGTCATTATTTAAACAATGCTTATGCTGATATTAAAAAACAATGACTTTATCGTATTTACAGTACTGCAAAATGACAATTTTCTTTGTTAGCAATTTAATCGATTGTAAAATTAATAGCCAATTATAGATAGTGTTGACAGATTTCCCAAATAGCTTGAAACTCCAAATCCCATTTAGATATTTAGTTACTTAATCCTAGCACTCGGCCCGGATATGTTGAATCAATAAAAAAACAGCTTTTAACATGGTCCTCCATAACAGTGTTAAAACTGCTACTTCCTATACAATTAAAAACATAAATATGTTATTATAACCTATATAATAATAATAAGTTTAGTATACTCATTTCTTGTCATCATACGATAAACAAGTTGTATTAAATCAATATTCTTTTAGTACTATTAAAGTTGTATAAAACTAGAAAAAATACTAGAAATATCTACTTAGTATATTTTTCTAGTTTGAAAATTTGAAATTTTAATCATATTTAAAAAACAATGAATAATACATTAGATTATATTTCCCGTTAAGTGACTCAAAACAGGTTCGATTAGATTAATACCTATTAATGGCCTATTGTCTCTAAATACATTAGCTAATAATGATGATGTTTTTTCAGACAAGCGATCCATTTATCGGTGCTACCCATGTTAACCTACACTATGCTAAAGAGCGTTTCTCACAAAATTATGGGAAAGTAAGTAAAAAATTTCATACCTAGTAGAGTTTTGTAAAAATACAGATTGTGTGGATTTGGTCTACAATTCTAAATGACTTTTATATGTTTTCAGTGTTATTTTGGCGGTTTCAATAATATACCTATCGTGTATTCATTTACATCGACAAATATACCATACGGCTGACTATACATTAGATATAACAGGTACGTCATATCTATACCTTTAAAACTACAGTGACTTATTCTATTTCGTCCTCGTATTCACCATGGCATATTGTTCTAGGTCCGTTAATGGTAATCACTCAAAGAGTAACGTCATTAGCTTACTCACTGCAGGACAGTTTAACTGTTAAAGAAAAACCTACATCAGGAAACACATCAGAAGCTAATGGCGACCTCGTGAAAATAGAGAAGATACCGTCGCCGCTTGAATACTTCGCATTTACTTTAGCCTTCCAAACGTTAATGTGTGGACCAGTAGTGTTTTACTCTGACTATATTAAATTTATTGAAGGTGCGCGCATCGATGAGGTAAGGACAATAAATACTGTTACTTACGACGACCTACATAAAGGTTTATAAATGACTGCGCAGAAGTTACGTTTTATTTTAATGGTTGAATAACAAAGACAATACTTGTACTTAATTAACTTTTTATTAACTTGAACTTGACTTTTATTTCAGTTCATTAGTACTGTTAGTCACGAATACAATGAAATAGGTAATACAAATGTTAACAGTAAAATACACACTTCGACAGGTACCTATCGAATGTGAGATACTGTGTTTCATAGCGTTTTAATTTCAGTATAGAGGTAACTCTTCTTAAAAAAATAGACATTATAAACCTTGAAAGTTTGGATTTTGGAAAACTTTTTGGTTGATTTCTTCAGGTCTTGCAAATTATGAAACCTTAGTGGGTTAGGCCGCGTGAGTAGCTCGTAACTTAAGAGCTTTGTTCAAGTTCGAATATAGTCGGGTAAACACAAAGGGTAACGTAAGTAAATCTGGAATGAACGAATGTGTCATGTGGTGTTTGCCCGGTCATTTAATTAATAATTCCTGAATTCACTGAAATGACATGTGAATTTGTACAGAGTACCTACTGACGCATGATATGTTTTTATTTGACATTAATCACTGGTAGCTTGGTGTTTGAAATTGTGTATTAAAATATTACATCCATGTGATGTTTTATGTTAAACCTTTTGTTTTACTCTTTATTAATCTTTTTTTTATAATGTTCCAGTTCGAAAAATCAAAAGATGCCACGGAACCATCGCCGCGTCGCGCTGTGTTTTACAAAGTATGCGGTTCATTGGCCGCTGCCTTATTATATTTAACATTGGCTAAGAAATATCCTTTGGCTGTTTTAGAAGGTAATTAATTCTAATTTTGTTTGTATATAGTATAATGAAATTAAAATTGATCACCCCTGAGTTAATTAGTCTCCATATTGACAATTGATAAGCTCTAAGCTAGAAAACGCTTGAACCAAATACCTACCTACAATCAATGGCATTTCTTTAGTATCACAAGTATAACATCAAAGTACTAGAAATAGCGTTGGAGCTAAAACGATAGGCAAAATAAGTTTAATCTTACTTAATGTAAATTTAATGTTAAATTCGTCTATACTTTGTCTATTTTTGCATGACGTAAGCCGAATTATTTTAAGTCTTAAGTTTGAGTTATGCGCATATTTATTAATAACTAGTGACCTATCCCTGCTTTGCACGGGTCTCTATATAACTAATCTCTATCTCTATAACTATCTCGCTAACGACGAAGGGCGCCCTTTCTCCCAGCTCAACCCTCTAGATTTCAAAAAAAAAATCTTTCATAAGAGCCTTTTCCTGACAATAACAAACATAACAAAAAAATAACTAGTAAAATTGGTACAATCCAGGCGTTGTTGAGTTATGCGTTTTGCGATCCATTTTTATATAGACAGATATTAACTGTAGTACAAATAAATATAAAACTAAAACTATTCAGCTGACATTTTCTTTTTTCATTAACAGAATTGACGGACCCTTCATCAGAAGTGTCGCGGTCATGGTCAGCCCTGTACTTGCTTTGGTACGCGTATCTGTCAACCCTAGTAGTGAGGTGCAAGTATTATCACGCCTGGTTGCTGTCTGAAGCAATCTGCAATAACTGTGGAATGGGTTTCAATGGCTACAACAAAGACGGCTCTCCTAAATGGGACAAAATGTCTAACATCGATATTTTTGGATTTGAGGTAAAAACACAAATAATTTACAGTGCGTATCTTCTTTTAATATAATACTCTCATTATTAATATATTTGTGACACTTTATTTGGTTTACGGACAATATCATATCGACGCTTTAACACGTCATTGTAGGCCCCAGGTCGGTTCGTATTGGTTAAAAACTTAATTTTCTGTTCTGAGGTTAAAAAGGTACTATGAAAAAAAATGTTTTTACACCAATCTATAAATAACATATAAGTGTTTATGTATTGTGATATTGTAAAACTTAAGTTAAATCATGGCTGACATTGTGGTAAATTGGTAGTAAAGTATTTCTATATTTAAATTTTCAGTTTGCACAAAACTTCCGTGTAGCTATCGCCAGTTGGAACAAGAATACAAATGCGTGGCTCCGTGACGTGGCGTATGAGCGTGGCGGCGCGGCGTGGCGAACGGCCCGTGTTTACGCTCTGTCAGCCGTATGGCATGGCTTCCACCCTGGATATTATTTAACATTTTTTGCCGGCGGACTCTTTACTATTGCAGCTCGAAAGGTGAATTCATTTTAAATTTTTATGGAATACTGAATCTTCTTATTTTAGTTTAACTGTGAGCAGCTTTATGGCTAAACATATACCTAGTAGTAATATATAGTCGATACATGTACGCTACAGACATTTAACATACAAACAATTAAATCCAAGTAGTATCAGAGTTTAGCGCATTCAACCAAACAAAATGATTATAATATAGATATAGATTTAAGTCCGACACGCTTTTCTATAGTAGATACACGTAAATTATCTTTCCAGATAAGGTATGCCGCTCGTCCGATGTTTCTAGACAGTGCCCCCAAGAAGCTTTTCTACGATTGTGTTACATTTCTCACCACTAGAGTTGCAATGACTTACGCTACCGTGCCATTTGTGCTCCTTCATCTCGCACCTAGCCTCGCTTTTTACGGGTTTGTAATATTTTTTACGTAAGATATATGAAGACGCTTTGGGCCTATTTAAAGTGGTTTTATTTTTTTCAGGAAATTTTATTACTCCCTTCACTTCATCGCTTTGGGTGCTTTGTTAATACCTGAGAAACCCAAACGATCTAAATCAGCACAAATCCAAGAAAAAGGTTCATATAAATCTAGTGAGGAAACATTACCAATTCTGGAGACATTAGACTCGTCACACGGGAAGCTTAAAATAACATAGAAAATGTATGTATTGTGAAAAGGCTCTGAAGATACCTATTTCTTATGTTTACATCACAATTACAATAAAATCCAAAAATATTGTTACAAATGATAATTGATGTTAACAATGAATAATTCTTAGTTCTTTGTTAAGTATTAACTAATTACGCACAAAATACTGACAGTAAACAATATTACGTTTGTTATATTTGAAAACTATTTGTTTTTAAAGTAATAACGCGTTTTAAGCAAGTGCTCATTACGCGTGACGTTAGAATGATTTATTTTATATTTTCTAACAGTGTTAGGTGTCTAATTTATATTATTATCTATTTATTTCAGTATTACCTCCAATGATAATACAGATTATGTAGGTAGTGACTCAATTCAATTCATGAATTGATTTGAATATACAAGGCAGCTACATATTTCGTACACCTTGTGAATGGTCCTAGCGATAAAGGTTTAAATTACTGAATTGCTACAATCAAGTATACCTGGACCAATAGTCGAAGCGCGTGGAAGCAAAAACCTATCCTAATCGCGCTTATTGGGGCATATTCGCCTGTGACTTTATGAATCTCCGTAGTACACATACCTTATGTTGCGGGGATAAGGTTGAATTTGTTATGATAATACTATTTTGATGCTACCTTGGTAGTATTATTTTTGTACAGTTCAATACATGCCTTATTTTACATAGCAAAATACAGCTAAAATTTATATTATTTCTAAAATAAACATTTCTCTTTTAACATTTCGTATTGACAGTTGTGTATCAGACTTGCGACCGTAAATGAAATAGGAAGTCAAGATATTACGCATCGACCATTGGAGAGAGAGATTAGGTCTAGGTGCCGTGTATACTGCCTATAAATAAATAAATAATTCTCCTCTATCAACACTAGTCACCTCAATGCCTGATTTCTACTAAACGAAGAGAAAAAATGTGATGTCGATAGTGATGTGAAACCTAATGTTATGTAAACAATCATAATAATGGCAGCACATGCAAATTGATAACTATACTCGGAATTTTAATTCCATTCCAGATTTGACAATTTCAGTGTTGCAACATTATGACACATAATAAATAGTGACGTTGCGAAATTATTCGATATGGAAATCGATTATTTCTCACTCGATTCCTCTCGTTTATAAAACAAATTTACTCTCGTAAACTAAGTTTATCAGGAAATAAAATATTTCTGAACCGATAATTTAGTTTTGACAATTAATTAACGATCTGAGACTTTTCTTTTGTAATTGTGTGTGAAATTAATAAAAAAATGTGATCATGAAGAAACATGACAAATAAAACAGACATTTTATAAATTGTCGCCGTCATCGCTATCGCTATCGCCGTTACTCTATGTAACATTTATTATGAATAGTGTCTTTGATATTTATTGTCAATTAACATATCTAGCTTACTCATTTTTTCCTCTTCTTTGAAAACATGGGATACACATTTAGACCATTCGGTAACCGTAATTTTTTGAATGCCTTCCTGAAACTCATTCACTGATTGTTTATCGATTTTTGTGTTCATCACTACACTTATATGTGGTATCATTATTTCACAAAATGACAGTGGTCAATGTCAAATCAGGAATCGAATTAAAAGTCTGACTATAGGTAGTTATATATATGACAAAGATGCACCAGATTCTTTTTTCAATTGATTGTTATTTCATATCTAAGTATTAATAAATCCTATTTAAGTTATCATTTTATTTCAAGAAAAGGAAAGCAGTAATAATTTGAACGTAAAAGATAGAAATGATCACCTGCTAGATATACGTATTTTCGTTTTTTTAAATAATTTTACTTTTAAAACAAAATTCATAATTTTCTGATTGGATACTTTATATTTGAGGTGATGGTGTTGGTCGGATTGATATAAGACATGTCGTGGTAGCCCAATAGATAAGGGGTCCTTTTTTTTGCGCGGGGGTGCAGGTACGAAACTTTTTTTCGGGATGTGGCTGGTTCTTTCTCCTGCTCCGAGACGAGGTTGCGATACGTTATCATGCTGTAGTTCCGTAGATATGTCAAATTTGTCGACAGGTACCATAGATAGGTATGTTGGAAATGAGTAACAAATTCATACCACAGGCTTTAATTAATGGCCACGTTGAGTCTGCATACTGTATTTACAGAAATGTAAACAGAAATGTATTTCATAGGTATATTCTTTATTACTATTAAAAAATTCTAGTGTTACTGTTGAAACCACTAAATGTGATGTCATTATTATACAATTTTGTAGATTGCTATGTAGCTTGTATTGAAGCATCATACGATTTTTTATAAGAATATGCTGTACATTTTCTGTATATAACTCTGGTTACTTGTTTACCTATTGTTGACTACTTAAAATATTTTTCGAATCAACCACATTCTTGAACCACACTATTCATGTTATAAATTTTAAAAGTAAAATTTGTTTAAATAAAGCAACATATCTTTAATATAATTGTTATTTTTAAATTAATAGTTTATGTCTTACATGTGAACAGCGGTTTACTAAATATAACTAAATCTATTTGTCAATAAGCAGCATTTCATTTCTGTAGTTATATTTAGTAAACTACTGAGAAAACTAATTAAATTAAATTTTGAGATGTATTATAAAAGAAAATATTAGTTTGCGATTTTAATTTTAATCTGGAAAGGCCATTACATTGCAAAAGGCATGCATGATAGTAATAGTATCTATATTAAGTTATTTATAAACAAATTGGAATAATTTCTAATTCGTAATTAAAAAAAATCAATTCTCATTATTTCTAAATTAGCTTTATAATAAAAGCTGGAGTTTAAAATTCGAATTAATCAATTACAATTTTATTTAAATTAAGTTGTCTGTTTAACCATCCTCAATCAATTCGCAAGATTTCTGTTTTTAATAGACTTATAGACATAGTGACAGTTTTGTAGCTGGTAAATGTTTGACAGTGACAAAATAATATTGATTATTACAAACACAGATTTAAATGTAAATTGACTATAACGTGGTTTGTTGCACCTTATTCACCTGGGCTGACTGCTGACTCTGGGTGATATAATTCTAAGGTGAAATGTCCACCTAGGTGAAAGTGGAATAAGCCATGCAAGTGAGTTTTACATTAATGATTACAAGAATGTATTCTAAATCTAAAATAGAATGAATATTGGAACCATTGTTACTCTCAAGATTTGGCAGGTTGTGAACATTACACTTTGCAACATTGCATTTACAGAATGCATTATTGTTTATATTTATCATTTGTGGTTCCAATAATTATATCTAACTAAACATTGTATTACATCAAATTTGTGGATGTGAAACCAATTTAATACCTCAAACATGGAATTGTATTTATTTTTGTTACAAATTAATTTTATATTTAACCTATTTTATATGGTTAGTAAAAATATATTTTACATTGATGATTTTTATTGACCACCAATCAACCCGGCTTTTTACCTTTACAGATAATTTCCGGCTTATAATTTTTAACCACATCCTTTGCTCTCTAGTAGATATATCTTACAGCACTACTCATTATTTGCATTGTATTAGTCATTTCATTTCTTATTTGTTTTAATGTTTATAAATGCTTGTCTTATGCAACACAGAGCACCAGGTACATCATTTGTTTCATCTAATTTCTTCTGCAACTCCTTGAAGTCTGTGATTTTTGGTGTAACACTTGATACTGGAACATTAGAGCGACAATAAATTACAGCAAATACTGGGTAGGTCCCTACTCACCCATAAAAATATGTAAAGCTTATAGTTACAATATAATATGGATACTTACAGTGATAGCATCCACTCTTTGTGTCTTTTTGTAAACGAACAGAGTAATTTTCAGATTCTTTTTTGGCTTCAGTGAAGAATTGGACATAAATAGTTTGCTTTCCTGGACTTTTTGATTCTATTGTATAATACATTTTCAAAAACTTTTTGTAAAATTTCTTAGCCATTAGGAAAGCTTCGTGTGTTTCTTTGATTTCTTGCGATAACAGTCTTTGATCTGCAATTATTACCTTACTTCATATTCAAAAATAAAATAAAACTTATACATTTAATTTAAGCAAATACTAATATAACATTATATTCATAAGCAGCCCAAAATTTGTGAGAACTGTCATTTTTTAATAAAATGTAGTTTAGGCCTAGGTCTCCAGCTATGAGTACACATGTCATATAGCGCTTCTTCATATGGGAGAAGGAGAGTGATATGACATGAGTACAAGTGACAGAAAGAAGACAAAGACAGCTTAATATAGGTCATAAATGGAAAGTATTTATCATATCAAATAAAATTGGTTTGTGTTTGAAATCTGAAGCAAGTAACTTCTTATTAACAAATCTTAATTAGAATGCTCCAATTTATTATTAGGTATCTTATTGACAAAATCCGCCCCTAAGACGACCCACTGACCAAATTATACTGTGATATACTTACCCTTTTTGTAGTTTTCATACTGAATCTTTTGTTGAGAGAATTCTTCAAGTTTCTTGTCAATATCTTGCCTCATTTGCTTATTACGTTCTATCAAAGATTTCAACTCATCGTCATGGTTATGAGTAAGATTGCTACTCCAGTTTAACTTTTTAAGCTTGAAGCCGTTTTCTAACACGCCTAGAAAATTGTCATGTATAGATTCCACTTTACTTTCGAATTCCAGGTAACTGGTTTCTTCGATTCTTTTTAAATTATATTGAATATTCCAATTTTCTTCAATAATACTCATTTTTACAGTTTTGACTTCGAAATCAAAGATTTTTAAACGAAAGACTTTACCCAACTGAATAATATATTTTCAATCGCACAGTAATGACAGTCACCGGTTCATCACTTTTTTATTCAATTAAATTAATAACAATCGTTTATAATTCAGATCGTTTGTTTATCGTAACTTTCACATTTAAATTATTCAAATTCTCAAACCGTCTAAATATATGACAGCAACGCCAATTTATTTAGTACACAGCTAAATCTATGGTACACAGACTGCTCTTTTTTTTTTGGAGTTTATGGCCTGGATACAAGTTTTTTAAGCCAAAGGTAAAAACTCTTTTAGTATCTATAACCACAGACTAAAAATTATTTATTTGATTTTTTTGTCCAATTACCCCAACAAAAATAAGGAAAAATTAGCAACATTGTTAAGTTCCTCTCGCAATATGCATCCACATGCATTCCACTATTTCTTTCCATCCAATCACATATATATCTGAAAACATAAAAATATAAACAAACGAATAGTTGGTAGTAAATACTAGTAAAGCGGGATTAGAGTGCAACGAATTGGTGACAAGTTCACTCGTAGCTTATGAACAGCTTTCGCCCTCCGAGCAGGATAACTTCTCGAGATGGTAGCCTTCGAGATCACTCATCCCCATCCATTGACATAGGAAATATATGGACTTGAAATACCTACGAAAAAAAGGTGCCTACCTACAATCCAAAATGTCGCATAAGATGGCTGCCGTTGCTAGGGTTGTGCCGACTAAGTATTTAACGAGTATCGATACAATTTGAGTAAAAGTTCTACGTAGGTATAGTTTTAGGGATTAGCCAGCTGATTAACGGTATTTTTTTATGGGAAATCATCTAATGTCATCTCCGGCCTTTTTCGGGACAGACCGTTACTGACTAAAATCAACTCCTGTTCCTACTTTGCCGTCGGCCTAGCTAGAGCCCGGAACCCGGGGTTAACTTGGTCTCTTGATTGGCTAATGATTTTCTCAAGTCGAATTTGTATTCATATAATTCAACGTACCTAAAGCGTCTTTTAAAAAAATAGGACTGTGATTAATGGAATGGTGAAATAGAAAAAGATAGTGTTTGTTAAATGTTTATCTTTATATATGTGGAAAACCTGTGGGTATTTGTGAAGTGCTCGCGCACAATTTCGGCGCGTCTGATTAAACGATGATATCTTCGAAACTACGTTAGCACAAAATAGATATGTAGTGAAGTCAGTCTTATTGTATGTATCTCACTTTTTATTATTACGCTTGGTGGTCGCACTGGGATCGTCGCCAACGCCGCTCTGTCAATCGCGCCCGTATAATTATAAAACATGATAATTTGAACTTCTACTTATGTAACTAAAACCAATACCAAAATACTGACGTCTTACTTTAGCGTTACACAAAACTGCGGAAACATCCATTGTTAAAATAGATTATTTAGTATATGTTGAATTTTAAATGGGAGATTATATCGATACTTTTGTGAAATGGTACGTAACTATGCCATATTGACATATTATTGTAAACAACAATATTTTACTAAAACTGTCTCACAGACAGAAATAAAAGTAAATATATATACTTTGGCAATAGATTAAAGTATCCGTGACATTTTTTTCTATCTATGTGGATTATTCTAAGTAATATTTGATGAAAACTGTTTACTAACCTATACAAAGACAATTGAGGTTGATTTTCGTTCTTTTTTGCACCACACTGCACAATACAACACACAGGCATATTGTTTTTTTGTTTCACTATATATATTTGAAGTTTAAAAAAATGGTTCTTTGTAATTTACTGAAAAACCGCAATAATTTAAAACTTATACAACCGTTTGACAGGACAACTACCATGAAACTCAGGTACTCTGAGCGCTTAAGATGGCGGACATGGCACTTACCTACAACTTTGCTAATGTCAAAATGATTTGTTTCCATATTAAGCAACAACTTAAATATTGTTGTCCCTTTTGTCTAATACAATTATTGCCTTAGAAAGAGTGAGAAATAATGATAATTCATAGTTTGTTTCATATTTCCCTCATATTTGTATAAGCATGTATACTTCTATAGTAACACGGCGCCTCTATATATTTTCTATCTCAATGTCCCCATCACCTGGCCAGTAGGTACATTGGAAAGAAAAAGAAAATGATATTTGGGAATGCAACTTTTTGGATTGTTCTATTACAAAATACTTTGTGCTTGTATTTTTAATTAAGTAGTATCACCAAATCAAATCACCGGACGAGTTAAAAAGAGCCTTTGAGGTAATATATCATTTAACTCTTTTTTATGAATTTGTTTATCACTAATATTAAAGTTTGATTTTTTTATTGAGTATCCAATTTTCTTCCAGGATCATGATTATTTTAATAAATCGACTAATGGAAAAGGATTTAATTGTTTTTAACCTGTGGTTATTATCAACCAAACACTGTGGTCACCTCTAAAACCGAGTTGTTGAGTAGGTAGATAAAACGTCAAATTGTCAATGAAGATCGTGAATAGAAAATAATGTATTTGATCTAAACTAGAAATTTCATACTTTTCTATATTGTAGTAAATGTTCAATGAGTTCGCTGTCATGCAAAGGTTAATGCCATTGTTAATAAACTGTTTGAGTCTTGTCTGATTGCAAATCGCCTGAGAAGGATATGAATTTCTGGTAAGCAAATCGAGTTGTGATTTTATCAGGATGTCATGTGTTTATTTAGCTTTTTTATACTGTTTCTCTATCTCAGGTTTTCGGCGAAAAATCTTAAGAGGTCACATCAGCGGACTGTTTTTTATCATTATGGTTTATTGCATTTATGATGAAAATCTGATAAAGTCTCTGTCCGAGCTTGCTACAAGTTTTCCGACTTCTAAGATATTCGAGCAGAGTTTGTCCAATGGGCCATTGTCTAAGCTGTTTCAAAAATCAAGCTAATGCAGATATTACCACTTCTCCACACAGAAAAAAGGATGGTGAGTAATCCTATGACTGGTAATGTGTTAAAGTGATGTCAATTTGCCTAGATATATTAATTGTTGGTTTTCCCATTTCAGAGATGACAGAAATAGAAGTGACAGTCTCTGTTTATCCCCAGCAAGAACCTCTTCTTAATGAGAATCAAAATAGCATTAGCCAGTTCAGAAACACAAGTTCCTCACATGTTTCTAGCACATTGTCAGGAGAACAGAGTCCTGTAGAGATAATCAATACACACAAGTCAATCACAGTTTCAGAGAGAACACCTAAACCATTCTATCAGAAGTTGCCAACCATACCTAGGACTATGTCATCTTTGGGTACCAATGACTCTAAAATATCTGAGTCTAAAATTATTCAGCTCTTTGATCAATACAAAGATTCATTAGAAGATGCTATATTGGCTGAAGGTATAGAAAACCTTTGTAATGATCTACAGTTGAACCCAGATGACTTTAAAGTTTTGGTTTTGGCATGGAAATTAAATGCTAGTCAAATGTGTAGGTTTACAAAATCTGAATTTGTACAGGGCTTGAAAAATATGAAAACAGAATCAATTAAAGGTATACAAAATAAATTAAATGAAATAACAAATGAGTTGAAGAGGGATACTGAACATTTTAAGGATTTGTATAGATTTACATTTAAATTTGGTTTAGATGTGAGCACAGGCCAGAGGATTCTGCCTACAGACATTGCTATTGTATTGTGGCGTCTAGTCTTCACAAACAATGAGCCTCCTATATTAGACAGATGGTTGTTGTACTTGGAAAAGAATCCACATATAAGAGGCATTCCAAAGGACACTTGGTACATGTTTTTAAATTTTTGTGAATTCATTGGGGATGATCTCAGCAGTTATGATGACACAGAGGCTTGGCCTAGTCTCTTTGACGATTTTGTGGAATATGAAAATGATCAAATGAATCAAAATATCAAGAAGAATGATATCAAAACACAGGATTAATGTCCATTGCCAAATTTTAGCTTCTGTAGGTACTTAATTAAGATATTAAGACTGATAATCTGATAATGAATGTTCAATGATGTTAGTCTTGTATCTCAGGTGAAGTTAATGCTATAAGGTAAAAGAATGTATTATTAGTACTACATACTGAACAAAATTGTGTAGGTACATATTGTGAGATTTCAAAGTGTACATAAAGTACTTTTATATTTTATAAATGTTTATCTTTAGGTTTATTTTTAAAATTATTTAACATTCCAGTAATGGAATTAGACAAAAATTTTGTAAATATTGTTCTTAGTTGCATCAAAGGTACCTTTTATTTTCTTTATGCTGTATATTTTTATTTTACTTTTACCTTTCATCATTGCTAATTTCATTCTAAATCTTGCACAATCTAAATAATGCCTGAAAATAATAGAATAATACTAGTAAAGAAGTTTTATTTACATCTATCAGTAATACTATAACTGGCAATGTATTGCCTGACAAGGTATCATAGCGGTTGCTAGCTTGGAAATAATAATGCTTCGGTAAAAGACACTTTGCTGATCAGTTTTTATTTAACCTTTTAACCGCCTGACTTCAAAACAGTTGGCGTGCCCCAAGCGCGCGTGCGTTCGTGCAGCGGAATGTTGAATTTAAAGATTTTAATTATGCAGATATTTAGTGTATGACGTCGTATAATTGTGTATGGTAAAAAAAAAATTGTGCACGCAACCATTGTGGAGAAATTCACCAAAAACTGATTCCGCTGGGCGAACGTTGTCCTGGCGGAACTTTTTTTAATCCATAGACTTTAGAAGAAAAGAGATGTATCCAAAAATTAGTGTGTATTTGTGTGTAATTGTGTATGTATGAATAAAACTAGTGCATGCATAAACTTCGGAGAAATTCAAGTTTCCGCTACGCGAACGTTTGGCCATTAGCTAGTTTTCATATAAAGCGCTTACATAGAGAGCTGTAGATTTTTACATACGTTGTTTTGAATTTGTGTATATTTGTTTAAAAAACAGATTTAGAAAAAATCGTAGGGTTTAAAAGATAAAAATATAAACGTAAAATACGCTTATTAGGTCTTAGCTCTTAAAGTATGCACTTTAGGGTCTAGATTTTCACGTTTATACAAACCTTGTAAGTGTCTGCAACATGTTGCCAAGTATCAATGATGTTCCGTTAGTAATTAAATAGTTATAGGACAAATTTACCATGAATAGATCACTGTTTACAAAGCAGTCAAATATCACGACGTTCTAAATAAATTGCATGGTAAAATGTATGCCAATAATTAGTGTATTTATTCAACTATTCACATGCAAAACTTCATGTCATTAAATTCGGTAATTAAAGAAAAACAATTATAATACTGACGAAGCATCGAAAACCTACATAACCCGACCAAGTTCGGATGGCTACAAAAAAGCGGCCGTGCCATATATCTAAGAAACGTTCTTAACTTTCCAATATAGCATTTATTAATATGGTACATTATCGTACACAAGCGTTAGGAAAAAATAAAACACAGTATCGTACACACGCTCGTGCATGCCTCTATTGGTTAAATAGTGTAATAAAAAATATTGGTTAAATAGTGTAATAAGCTACAATATGATAAATATTTACCTAAACAGTAGTACTTAAGTACTTACATGTGGTAAATATTTAATTTCCCTAAGGGGTCTATAGTTAGAATCCTGATCCGTGAAATCTTCAATAGAAATTAGCTGTATGAATTTTATTTGTCTTAAATATAATTAGATTATATCTCAAATCTCAAGCGCATACTTAAATAAAGTACCTACGTAAATAGTACCTACTTTCTGTCATAGTCAAATACATTTAAAAAAGTAGGTGTCCAAAAATAAATGACCTATAAATTATTTCGAAACAACAAGTGTGTTATCACCTGTACCAATTCAATACCGGTATTATACTGTAAATTTTGGGATGTTACCTAAATATATTGAACAGCCGCTTTTTTGTAGCCATCCGAACTTGGTCGGGTTATGTAGGTTTTCGATACTTCGTCAGTATTATAATTGTTTTTCTTTAATTACTGAATTTAATGACATAAAATTTTGCATGTGAATAGTTGAATGAATACACTAATTATTGGCATACATTTTACCATGCAATTCATTTAGAACGTCGTGATATTTGACTGCTTTGTAAACAGTGATCTATTCATGGTAAATTTGTCCTATAACTATTTAATTACTAACGGAACATCATTGATACTTGGCAACATGTTGCAGACACTTACAAGGTTTGTAGAAACGTGAAAATCTAGACCCTAAAGTGCATACTTTAAGAGCTAAGACCTAATAAGCGTATTTTACGTTTATATTTTTATCTTTTAAACCCTACGATTTTTTCTAAATCTGTTTTTTAAACAAATATACACAAATTCAAAACAACGTATGTAAAAATCTACAGCTCTCTATGTAAGCGCTTTATATGAAAACTAGCTAATGGCCAAACGTTCGCGTAGCGGAAACTTGAATTTCTCCGAAGTTTATGCATGCACTAGTTTTATTCATACATACACAATTACACACAAATACACACACATTTTTGGATACATCTCTTTTCTTCTAAAGTCTATGGATTAAAAAAAGTTCCGCCAGGACAACGTTCGCCCAGCGGAATCAGTTTTTGGTGAATTTCTCCACAATGGTTGCGTGCACAAATTTTTTTTACCATACACAATTATATGACGTCATACACTAAATATCTGCATAATTAAAATCTTTAAATTCAACAACATTCCGCTGCACGAACGCACGCCCCAAGCGCCGGGCACAGTGAATCGAAAAATAAATACCTACAAGAAAGAGGGATATATACTTAACTTTGCGATGTCGATATTTCGTTTTAATAACGACATTGCATTTGCGACCATGGTTAAGGTACTGACTTAGTAATTAATTATTAAGTCATACAACTCATTTCGCCTAAAGATTTTTTGTGTGAAATATATCAGCTTTTACGCCAGTCTTATTTTATCTGTCCTAGTGGATTACATAGCACACTAAACAGTTAGTTCAAAACTTACTGTCCAAGCGTTTCCATACGCGCTGTTTGGTGGATAGTTTTTTGCAGTGGGTAGGTACTTATAGTCATACTATTAAGTTGTTTTCCAATTGAGCGAAGTACCTAGTCGAAGTATCAAGTAGTAAGCATGGAGTGTTTGTGACCGTAACTTGTTCTCATCGCCTACTGTCAACTCGCGATGCGCTCACTGAACCTATTAGCAACAGTGCACTAAACTTAAATGAAATAAGCAGGAAAAAAGAGCAGGCTCCCATAGTAATGTAGATAGTATTATCGTCGTCGCAGATAGCGTACCCTTCTATATCTTCAATGCCGCCATATAGTGTCATGAAAGTACCTAGTATAGGTACAGTTACCACCCTATAGGTACTCATGTTAAGCATATAGACCTAATAAACCTGATCTATTTAGAATTAAAATTGCGATCTCCCAAGTTCTCTAACCGGCCTACTTATTATGACAAGTGTCTTTTGTAGAAGAGGCCCATTCCAAAGACCAAATTCTCACAAGCTTTTAATAAATTACCCAGTGCAAGTGGGTGTTACATGTGATACGAGGCCTTCTTTCTGCCTAGCGTGACAATCGAGGTTTGCTGTATCATCGATGCTTCCGACAACAAAGGTCGTAAACACCAAAATAGCACTTTTGGTAATCAACGAAAAACAAAAAAATATTTCGTTTTTGGCTTATATCTTTTTAACTTTAAAAGTTGTAAAATTGTGTTCTATACAAGAAATACGTAAAATACGATGGTGTTTCATAATATATTATTGCTATTTATGTCAAAGCCTTATTTTAAAAGTTAGCTTGGACATACACCCCAGAGAATTCAAGAAGTTGGTATTTACGACCACTAACAAATCAATGGAGAACGATTTGTCTAACGGAAGTTAGAAGTATGCACCAGTTTTTAAATACAATAGTTCTGGGTTTGGTTTTAAAAACCATATACTGAAATAAAAATGAGTGTAAACACCACGATCTGATGCAATGGTATGTCACAAACATGGAAATATCTGAAGCGAAAGTCTATAGTCCTTTCGGCTGGCAGTTCCTAAAGGTATAAAAATACACAAAGGAAGTATGTATGTATGTATAGGCATCTTCCCGTGTAAAATTTAATCAAGCGTTTGTTACAAGATGCCTATAGTATTCTACCTCCAACGACGTACCTAACCAGCCAGACATAATTCAAAATGTTAAGAAATCATTACGTTTCATGGATTTCAAGAAGATTTTATAATCACGACATTTTTTTAAAACGATTGATAATGAATTACAAAAAAATATAAGTAAATATTCTACCAAGCTATTAAAATTATTAGAGCAGTAATGCTCCAATAATTTTAATAAACAATGTCCATTTTCACCAACGCCCTTAAAAATTTAGGTAGTTCATCTTTCTAGATCTTGTTTGTTCGGAAACCTTCTGTACTATGGTCTAAACCTAACTTTTAGCGTCGTTGGTGAAAATGGAAAAGTGTTATCGACAAGATATTAAAAAAGTAGATGCAAAACATAATACGACGACGAGTTATAGAAAATCAGGTCTTCATATTTCTGATTAATAATTTTCTGTCATTGGATAGAAGATTAATAACCAGAAATTTGAAGACCTGATTTTCTGATAGAAGATATTAATAAGAAATTTCATCTTCCTCGTCAGTCTCAGGAAGAGTATCAATGACAATATGAGACTGGCCCTATTAAAAAAATTAGGAGTACGCTGTACGTTTAAGTGTGGGAGAGCCATGCTTCGGCACGAATGGGTCGGCTGAGTGATACCACGGCCTCACAGAAAACCGGCGTGAAATAACCACTGCGTTGTGTTTCGCCGTGTGAGTGAGGTTACCGGAGGCCCAATCCTTCCCCAATCCCTAAATCTCCAAATCCCTAATCCCTAAAAGGTCGGCAACGCACTCGTAACTCCTCCGTTGCGAGTGTCCATGGGCGGCGCTGATTGCTTACCATCAGGTAATCCGTCTGCTCGTTTGCCGACCTATTACATAAAAAAAACGACCTACATAATTCATTTTTCAAACAAATTCTCCAAGACCAAGTGACATTACGACAATTGTTTCTCAGCAGAGCTTACGTTTTAAAAATGATTGTGGGGTGTAATTACAATTAATTATGTATTCATGTTTGTACGACCGACAGCTGTTTGTAAGTTGTATTATACGACCTGCACGGTTATTCGGTTCTAAGCAATATGAGTTATACATACCCTCTTTTCAAAAAAATCTTGATTATGCTAGTACAAATTTTGGGTGTAAAAGTATGTTTTTTTAGGCGAATATTTTTTTCACATTTTTAGATCGACGCAGCGCCAAAAATTAAGTAGGGCTGCATTCTTAACTCATTTTCGCCAAAATGGCGTTTACGACATTTGTTGCCGGAAGCATCGATATGTCGAACCATTCTAGTTCCGATATTTTTCATAACATTTTCAGGTAGGACTACCTGAAAATGTTATGAAAAATGCTGTCGAATAGTAAGTCGGAGGTTTCTGGTTCCATCCCTGGATTACGGCAATCCGTGGAAAATAAGTTGGGAATTTCGAAAAATTCTCTATTATAACTCAAAGTGGAATATGTAGTGTATGGTCAATAAATCCCCTACGTTACCTGTTCGAGTTTGATATAGGTAGTTGTAAAAGAGCGAAAGAGAGATTTTTTTATATTATTTGATATGGTTCAGAACACGTTGGCAGCGGCATCAGGATAGTCTGGTACATTATACCTACATAGAAATAAGCTGCTACCATCACGATTCTACATTCTAGTGTCCTCCAGGCTCATCGCTGAATTTTTCAGCTCGGAGTTTCAACACAGTATATATTCGTCTAGCGCTTATGAGACTTCGAAGTCGAATCGAAGCGCTCCTTCCAATAACAAAGGTGCCGTAGGTACTCTTCTTTCCGACCTAACTGATGACTGGTTCCGGAGATGGAGGATCGAAATAATTCTGACAAAGTGGAGGCGGTCCTGTTGGTAACCGCGATCCTGGCACGCCTGCACCCATCAACAATTCATCGTACGTATACTACGTATATCTACTCTATACTTCGAAATAAAAAAAAGACTTGCAGCGATTTAAAAAAAACGTTTGTTCAAGCGTCATTTTGAATGTAAATACATACTCCATTGTATAGCTCGCCTGACACAAAACATCCCAAATCTTTAAAGTTCGCCGTCTTCGGCATAAGTTACGACCACCTACAAAGGAACCGTAGGCAATAAGCCACCGCAGCCTCGGCCAAGAGCAGAAGGAACTGGGCGGTTTTTAGTCAACAAGAGTCTGACACTGTCGCCCCACCCTGAGCATCAGAAGTCTTTTGCTTCACAAAAAAAAAGAGAAATCAGTACTCTTCGCAAAAATATAGATCCAGATCGCATTCCGTATTTTGGTTTAGCTGCCGCTAGGACTCTGCGTACAACACCACCCAATTCTTGCTTAACACGCCAGCCCGCGATTCAAGACCATCAGTAATAAACTCCCTTATTTAAATAATCAGACTCAGCTGACCCCAATTCGTTAGCTACTTACATTTATATTTTGTAGTGATGTGATATAACACTCCCGTAGCTGTAATGTGACCAACTACAAGACTAAGGACAACATCACAGGCCGAACTACCTACCCATTTTTATAGTTAATTGTTACGACGACAAAGAATTACCTCCTTGCTTAATATAGAGATATGAACCTAATTTTTTATATGCTTTCGTTTTCCTTATATTATCTACTTTGGATCTAATCAGTAATTATATGTATGAGCCATACATTATTATTTATTGAGGTACCGTGATGCTTACAGGGTGTGTGCGAGATAAAAAATAATATATATTGATGAAAATTGCCATCGTGCTTAACTGATTCACGTGAAAAAATTAATTGCAGTAGTATTAATAAAATTTTATTTTTAAACAAAATAATATAGTCGCAGCCTGCCAGTGCTCGGTCGGTGTCGCGGCGCGCGCGAGGCTCACGCGGCCCCCCGCAGCAACTCAAAGGCACTACGACGCTGGCGGGCAGCGCGCCGGGTCAGCCCGCGACCTCTGTGCGCCCTACTTCCCTCTACTAAAGCATATCGACCAAAACAAAAGCACGAGATAACTGGCTCGGGGGACTACGTGGGCCTCACATCTTGTCCTGATATACACAAAATATGACATTATACAAACGCCCTTAAATGTAAATCTGATTATATTAAAAAAGCTGACAATTTATAAATTCATAATATACATTATCATAACGATTGGGAATTTGGGCCGACATTGTGAAAAATAATATTAGTAAAGCAAACCCCTTTACATATCGTTCCATAAGTACTCTCATTATGTTTCTACATTAATACTTTTACAGTTGAGTAATTGCGGACAAAGTGTATTTCATATAGTTATATTTATTATATTTAAGAGACGTCGAATATCATCTTTTCTAAAATATATAATGTTGTCTATATTGTGTTTACAATCAACCGTATCCCAATGGAAGATAGAATGGTACTTTTCGTTGCAATAATATTATACAGTTGTCACTCTCGACGAATTTTACACGTTTCGTCTTTGTATTGACTACAAGGCAATAAATTATAATCTACTTTCATAATTAGATAAAATATTGCAGATTATAATAAGTAACATTTAAACAGATACTGAGTCAAACTAATGTTATACACAAATAAAACGTTCAGATGAAACTGAAACGAGAATAGTATAAACAATGTTTTGTATTTTATAGCAAACTATTAAAAAATAAAACATAATTTTGTTTTAAAATAGGAAACAGTATTATATAATAACCATTACATCCATAATGTGAAAATATAATCAATTATAGGGTAAACATGTTAGAGTGATCATCACATCACAAGCAAACTTAGCGCATGTTAAGTGGTAGAAAAATTGCATGAGTAATAAATTAAGTTAGTGTTTATAAACTAAATATCGAATACCCCTTTTACCAACGCTAAGTGGATGATCAATTTAACAATTTACACGAGAGCCTTTTCCATCGAAAACTACATCGCTCTTTTTGATAATATAAGTGTTACAGTAAAATAATTGCGGCTTTTCCATAGACAAAATTATATAACATTTAGTAATTAGTTACAAATATGTTGTTCAAGTGTTTAAATACTAAAATTCTACGCGATGCTCGACGGGAATGTGTGTACGTGGGGATCACAATAGTTGTGGTAGGAAGTTAAAAACCTAGTCAAAATGCATAGTAAGTATTTGCAACCAAAACAATAACTCCTAAAATATGGCAAATTGAAGACTAATATTAGTAGCTAGAAAATTCTAGTACAACTACTAAAAGATTAATGCAACTTGTACATTGGTCGCAACCAATATGTTGTACATATATATAGATTAGAGCTTAAACATTAAAGCAAAATTCACTTGAATGATAAGATGTATTTAACAGGTAAGAGCATCGTGAGGAATTTAGTATAAATGTTTAGCTTTGTGGCTGTGACTGTATTTATGCTTATATAAAGCCTAGCTGTTCTATGATATTGAGAAATGGGAAATTATTTAGTGAATCATGTTGAAGCAAAACACTCGAGCTCTCACAGGATACAGATCCCAAAATTCAGGATAACATATTTCATGCATTCTCTGTTGATATAGGTTTTGGAAAGGCCTATCCTAGCTAAATTACAAATTGTAGTGCCAAATTACTCAATCACCTTCAGGACTTTTCCAATCGCAATTGTTTTATCTGAAAAGAAATACAAACCATTAAAATTTCGGTTATTACACAACGATCATGTTTGATGAAATGGATATTAATTTCAATCACAAGGTTAACTTTTAAATTATTTATAATAACGCAAGTATACTCACTCTCGTCTCTTAATGTGAATCTGCCCATCTGAGCGAATTTTTTGAAGGGTTCTAGACAAATAATTCCCGCACACTCTATCCTCATGATAGCTACTTGATCTTGCTTTACAAAGCGCGGCCGCGTCTTTGACTTTTCACCAGTCTTTTTATCCACCAAACAAATGAGTGCCTGAAATTAATTAAATTTTTGTGTAATTGAAGGAACAAGAAAAAATACTATATTTTTTAGCATGATAATTGATATTACCTTAACTGTAATTTCTTCAGCGGCGCAATGTATATGCATCACCGCAGAGTATCCCGCACAAATAATAGATTTGTGTTCAAGGATCACGACTTGAGCGTCGAACACCTAGAATGTCATGTAAGTAATTTAAGTTACATAGTGTAAATAGAGAGCCAAAAGCCTGTATTCTTGTTGAAATTTTGGTACTCAGTGTCACCAGTCAATGTTTCAAAAATATAAAAGGAGGTAAATATTGTATGGTTACTATTGGTTTACTTTTAAAAGTGAAAACATATTATACAAAATATTTAAAACTATGGTGAACTTATTATAACAAAAAGAAAAAAGGGTTTTCTTTGTGATACTGTGTTTTGGTAGAATACAATTATAAAAAAATTGAATGCAACCAGAAGAAGCAGTGAAATGGGTAAAACCGCATGGGAGGTTAATATCAGATATAATAGATTGGAACATACCCTTCCAGTAGTGATAGGTTCAGCTGTGTCACAAAGGACAAAGCCAGGGGAGACATCTTCTTCCTCAATACCTTTAAGCTTAACTTTGACGTTTTCGCCAGGACCAATAGAAGTTACTTCGATGTCGTCAGACCATAGCTGGTCTACAGTAACTTGTACCTAAAAAAATATTGTTTTTTATCAAACAAAATATATTTCACTTTCTTTACCTTAATATTTTGGAAGCAATCTGCGCTTAACAATATTTAAACTTTTAGTTAGTCAGTCATGTAACAGACTTATAAAGCTCGGTAGTTTAATATTAATTGAAAAGAATATTTACCCTATTAGGCATAAGGAACAAAGCAGCTCCTTTACGAGTAACTCCAGCTTCTACTTTTCCCATGAGCACAGTACCCATATCTTTGTATTTATCAACAACAGGCATTATGAATGGTCCATCCATTTTGCGATTCAGAGATGGAAGTTCATCAATGAGCTGTATGAAGGATGGCCCACGGTACCATGGACAGATTTCTTCAGATACCTGATGGAAAATAAAATTTTAATTAGATAAATTAAACAACTGATGGCATAAACATATTAAATAATACATAATATTTATTGTGTTGAACTTACTCTTTGAAGTAAACCTTGTCCTGTTTGTCCAGAGACAGGAAGGAATGACAAATCCTTTGCTGGATTGAAACCTAACTTCTTAAGGTAAGGCATGATTTTGTCTCGGCATTCATTGTATCTGAAATTTATAATATTTGGTACATTTACATACCCTGCTTTTGAATTGCCAAAATGTTGATACATACAAAAATAATTTATTAGTTTAGTTTGTCATTAATAATTTATAAAATGATTTTATTTAGTACCTTTTTTCATCCCAGTTTACAGTTGGGTCATCCATCTTGTTAACAAGTGCAACTAAGTGTTTAACACCTGCAGTTTTAGCCAACATAGCATGCTCCCGAGTTTGGCCTCCTCTGTCGAAACCTGTTTCGAATTCTCCCTTACGTGCAGAGATCACCTATGCAAGCAAGCATGATTAAGTTTCAATAACATTACAGTTAAGTTTGTTTGCAATCATTTGGCTCGCCATAGTGAATTAATATGAACTAGGCTAATATTTCAATATTACCTTTATATTAATTGTGAAAAATATGTTTATAAATATTAATAATTTTAATAGACTTTCACTGATGTTTGTGACAGAACGAAATAACCATTTTGTACAGTCAGAAACACCATAGCAAACACAATTTTAGAACAAACTAGTTTGGCCTAGGCTATAGTAGTGCAAGCAGAAGATTAGACAGACAATCCAACATGGTATGTGGATAGGTTAGGATTGCATCTACTCATTTGATTATTTCAAGCCTCGTTATGTGTAAGGCTACGTCGCCACATTGAGATTTATAGTAAATAACAATGGATACCTACTACCACCATGAAAAGTAAAGTTATAAACAACTCATTAAACCTTATTATGAGCATTTTAAACAGTTTTAAAATGGCTATAGCAAAAAATACTTCAAGTTATCTCAAACATCAGTGAAAGTATATTTATATTTTAATCTCATTTCTCATGTCTCATTTCTGATAAAGTGTTTAAAGAATGTAGTCCAAAATATCAGTAACTCAAAACTATTTCTGTTTTATCACTATTTACTAAATACATTATACATGCAAAAAGAATAAAATGAATGATCATACCAGGACGGCAAGGTCAGCTTGAGCAGCGCCACCAATCATATTTGGTACAAAACTCTTATGGCCAGGTGCATCAAGAATTGTGAAATGCTTCTTGTCAGTCTCAAAGTATGCTCTACCAACTTCAACAGTCTTGCCTTTGTCACGTTCTGTGTTAAAAAAACGTTTTCTATTAATATACTATTTTTGTATAAACAAGTAAAACTTACACAAAAATGTTTGTTATTACTAACCTTCTTGATTGGTATCTAGTGCCCATGATAAGTACCAAGATTCCCTAGATTTCTCACGCGCCTCTCTTTCGTACTTTTCGAGTGTCCTTTTGTCCACCATACCAGTGAGTGACATAATTTGACCACCTATTGTAGACTTACCAGCATCTGAAATAGGTTATAAATGTTAATAATAAATGTTAGCATTTTACAGTTACTATAACTACCATTTTACAATATAAAAAGTCGAGATTTCAATGAAAATAGAATAAAACAATTGAGTTGTTCAGTTAAATATAATAAGAGTAATTACATTATGTTTTGCTCTCTCTTATTCATACAACCATATGGCTTAAACATTTATAAATAGAATAAATTTTTAATATCACTCTCATACTATTGTCTATAACTTATTTTAGCAGATATTTCTCCTTAAATCCTAAGGCTACTAGTGCAGAATGTCATATCGCATTATCAGCCTTATAAAAGATTTTTTGTGTACAAGAAAGTGTATAATAATATACATACCTATAATTTATACCTGACCTACCTTACTTATACAATCCCTAATTATTTATACAAAAAATATGTATGGCACTTCACTTACCTACATGTCCTATGAATACAACATTTACATGTTCTTTCTTGCTGCAAGTGTCTTCAACACGAGGCGGCTTCTTCTTAGGAATTTTCTTTGCTGCTTCACCATCCTCCTATGTTAAAGAATGTATAATTAATATGAAGAAAGACAAAATAGCTGTTACCTATACACTGTGCTCACCTCTCTCATCATGATGTTCAAAAATAGATTATATTTGCTCAGCTACTATGATTATATAAGCAGTAAAATACATTAGTTAATGAACTTATTCATAACTATAACAAGGATACTAATGAAGAACAATTAGTAATACAAATTTTAATGATACAATCAGGAATAAACAATTTTAATGAGATTGTGTTTATTTCTGTTGATCTAAAAATGTAAAAAAAATAAATAATGCATGTGAATATGTTTATCAAAATATATTAAACAGTAACTTGTCAGCTGTCTTACAATAACTGTCCATTTCATGTATCCAAAGACAAGTAAACATTTATAAGAAATAAAGGTGAAATAGATTTCCACAACTGTAAAGTATGTCAGTTAGTAATGAAATCCATAGTGGTTTTACAAGCGAAAAGAAATCCATGGTAGTTTTACATAATATGTTAAAGCTTTATAATAATTTGTGTCTAGAATGTAAGCCGATTAAAGTACTTCATATATGTCCAACTGTCAATTGAGATATTATTTCATAGCACTTATGACATGAATTTGATGTTTACTCGAATGTACTGAGACAAATGACAATAACAGGTTACTGGAATGTACAACCAAAAATATATACTAACCGGCTGTTCTGTTTCTTCATCCTCAGGTTCATTATTTTCTTCAGGAGTAAGCAAAGCATCATCTGCTTCAGCTTCCCAGCTGTCAGCAGTGGGAGAGACATCAGTTGGTACAGGTAGTGTAGCTGTGGGAGCAGCTGAGCCACTGGCTCCATCAGGTGTGCCTGCAGCAGAACCATCAACTGGTGTGCCAGAGCCAGGAGTTCCAGATGCTGGCGATCCTACAGCAGGGCTACCAGCAGCAGGAGGTACAGGAGGCGGTTCCTCCACCCGTGGTGAAGCAGATGCACCATCACCACTTTCAGCACCCCCATCACCGCAACCTGATGACACATAAAACATTTTTAATATTGGTGTTTTTAAACATACAGGTTTAACATGAAAATTAAGCAAACTGTCACATGTCATGTGATGTTTTAAAATGGCCAGTACCAGTGCACAATGTTTGTTACATTTTAAAAATGATGATTTTAGTTTACTCTATTGATGAAGAAATAAAATAAAAACAGAATATTGTGACTAGTACTTGGTTATTTGAGCAAATAGCTAATTATAACAACTGTGAAATGGAAAATAATTACCATTTTATTGTTTGGAATTATTTTTTTATTCCTATTACATATACCTTTTAAGATGATTGTTCTGTTAATATTAATTGTATGACAAAACAGTATATTGCCAAGGAAAGTTAAGTCTGAAGTTTGTTACTTTAAATGATGTAATTAAAATTTTGCCTGACATTTTATGCATGATTCATGAAAATAAGACATCTATAGCAAAGATGACATTACCTATAATCTAAGAACAGCTGTTTTTAACAAGCTTATCTTTTCTGCCTTATATTTGAATAAAAATTAATAACGACATATATAAGAGAAAATAGTCACAAACTGGGAGCAAGTGATAAAATTAACAAGCCAATTAATTTATTGTTTACTGATAATTCACCATGTATGAAGTTATAACCTTAGATTTAGGTTTCTTAGAAACAAAAATGTGTGAAATGTGAGGCGACATACAGACTCATACGATAGAAATATGTTTGACTACAGAGAAATAATTTTACTATTCTGACAATCAAATGAGTGATAACAAAATATGCTCACCTTTGTTCATGATCCTCCTTAAAAATTGGTAAATCTATTGTCTAGTGTGATTATTTAGCTAAGAGAAAGTTATAAAATAGCGAATATACGGTATACAGATATAGCGCGCCGCGTGTCGAGAAATAACCCGTTAGAACTGGATTCAGAAAAAAAATACAAGTCAATGAACGTATGTTCCGCTTTAATAAACGTTTGATTTTCAGTTAGTTATTAATTAACGTACTAAGAAGCTGTAAGGTTTTAAGTTGTAAAGGATTTATGTAAAGTTTACTTAACACGAAAAGCTTCAATGCAGATAGATATGACATCTGACTTACCATTCAAGACAGGGCTCCCCACAGATTTTGTTGATCCACTTTCTGATTTTTGTGGAGTAGTGGGGGATTCCGAATCATCAGAAGCCTTGGAAGGCTTACAAAAAGAAGGCACGAACTCCGTGGCATTAACGTTCAACGTGGAAAATTTTGCAGACACATCGTCCGAATCTTTCGCACCTTGTTCACTTATAACATCAGCTTGGCTTTCCCAAGAGTCCGGAGCACCGTTATTGGACATTTTAAAAACAGAGAATGTAAATTTACTTATTAAGTCTTTCTTTTCAAGTTATTTTTAAGATTATTCGCGTTTTTTTCCCGATAGATCCGCGTGTGTCTTTATCTGAAACCGGAAGTCCATGGCAATTTGCCAAATATGTAAAGAAACAATTTATTGTTATTTTACATAAAAATATGTCAGAAAAAGTAAACAAATGTTTTACTTTAATCTATGATTTAAATTATATTTTTTTATTTTAAAAGTTATCTAGTATTTAATTTGTAATTTATTAAATATGTAATTTATTTAAAGTACACTTCCGGTACAATGCTGCCAGGATAAACTAGTTCAGAAGATTAGTTGCCATAACAAAAATAGTTTAAAAGCTGTATTGCCAAATGCCATAAACTTGTTCTAGCCATAGACCATAGAAATAATACCTCCATGGTTTTAGCAGAATGTTTTTAAGGAAAATACAATGGGCTTGCAATTTCTATAAGTCTGGAATAACATATAAGCGCAACATTTGTCATATTTCTATCTAAGCACATATCAGCTGGGGTTGCGGGATAAGCACAATGAGTCACCGCGACCTCGGCCTAAAGAAGAAAGGAGGCCAGGAGAAGGAGCGGGGGGTTTTAGCCAGCAAAAGTCTGACACTTCCTCCCGCCCGACTAAAGTTGGGAGAAGTCATTTAATGATTTTCCCATCACAAAAAATATAAGCACATAATTTTTTTGTACGATAAAATCGACCTAATTGTTCTCATAGTCGCAAATTAAGTCTCTGGTCACTACAGACTTTCACAAAGAAAAGATTCGATTTTTGAGATGAATCATCAAAATGAATTCCCTCGCCCCCAAGGTGGGGCAAGATACAGACGCTTACTGGCTAAAAATCACCACGTTCCTTCTTCTGCTCCAGGCCGAGTATCTGCATTGTTGGGCTCCATCTATGGTGTTTCATTGGCAGTCTGATATCCCATCACTTTTACTGACACACTTTTACTGACTAAAAATCTCTCGCCATCCAGGATGGGAGTCATTGGATGACTGACTAAACATTTGATTATACGCACTTCTATAAATTACAATACGAGGTGGAAAGTTGTCGAACTTTTAAATTAAAAGCCATTATTTTTTGGATCTACCAGCAAGTTGACAGTATCGTTACTTTCATATATTGCTAAATATCTACTAAATATCTATACCTATATATATAAATTAAAGCCACTTTGGTTGCAATGTTATAAATAACTCAACAATGCCTTACGAGTTGGTCTTGAATTATTCGTGTAAGTCCAGAGAAGGCTTGTACGTAATGTACGTGAAGAAACAAAAAACCATAAAATCGACATCCACGGGGGCGTAGTCGCGGGCGACCGCTCTCTCTAGTACACAATAAAGTAGTTAGTTGTTCAACTATAAATTATACCTAAAGAATAGGTATGCGCAGTATGCGCTTCTTTAAGGCTTGTGACACACTCATGCGATGTAGCATATTATGACACAATACGCCACGCCACGCATGATGAGATTTTTACCTCATATTTTTTAATCTGTTCTCTGTTCAATTTCACAATCGGAGATGGCAACACTGTGTGACAGCTTGTGTTGGTTGGCTTAAAGAACTTGTATCCAGGCCATAAACGCCAAAAAAAAGCTTGTTGGTAGATTTGGTAGCGGTCAATTTTTAAAATGGCGGACCGTGCCATTCGCAACGTAATCTTCGCCGCGTATCGTCATGCATTTGTATGACTGTTCATATTAAGCTCTACCGATCTTGACTGTTAAGAGCATTTAATCATCAGTGTTTTTGTTTTAATTTGTTATAGACTGTTGATAATATATTATTGTGTATGTGAACTCTGCTAATGAAAACACGAACATTTAACCAACTCATTTGAACCATTTGTCATGTTCGATAGTTTAGCTAAATTGAAATGTCTGTGCATTATAAGTTTAAAAGTGCGTTGGATTACGACACTGTTACATTTGATGGATTACACATATCTGTAGGGGATTTAAAATCTGCTATATCTCAGCAGAAACGGATTGGGAAGACTTCAGATTTTGATTTACAAATCACCAATGCGCAAACAAAAGAAGGTTAGTATTTCATAAGTATAATAAAGATAGTTGCAATGTGTCTCTTTAAATCTGTCTTAAAGAATAGGTTGAAACTGCTTAATGGATACATTATTGTAGTATCCAAAAGCTCGACATCTTTTCCTAAGTATTAACTAGCATTTCCAATATTTAGATAACCGATACCTTGTTTATTAATTAAGCCTCTTGTACTTCAATGCAGTACAAAGTACATACAACGTAATTCTGTCTATATATCGTGGTAATTTCTCCTATCGCATGGTATTTAATGCGATATTTTTCCTTATCATCACTTATACTTGAGATGTCCATACATAGGCCTCCTCAGTGATTTCAAGAGGAACTGCTTTCAAGAACCCTTCTATGCTCTAAATATCTCAACATAATACCAAAATAAAATAAAATTCTGAAGTCTGCGTTAATAGTTTCCAACTAGTCAAATCCAAAACTTCTATAAAAATGTCAAAAACAATATTTTATTACAATTTTTTTTATGAAAATCCAAATTATTATGCTATTTAATTTTCTGTCAAATAGCTTACTCATTTCTTGAATATAAGCCCAAAAATTTAATATTTAATATTTATTTTTTATTTAATATTAAATAATTATACTTTTATTAATTGATCTTAAATCTATAGATCAATGAATAAAAGTATAATTATTTTACTGCATTGAAACATCAAATTTATTTTATTTTTGACTTAGGAAACTACCCAATTATTGTATTCTCTTTTACCATCAAATTATGATTTATATAAATTGCACCATGTAATAAAAACCATCCAATGCTATCTTCACTTCAAATTGATTTTGTCCATAGTGTAGTATTTAGTAGAGAATAACTATTTGCGGATTACAGAATCGCACATTGCATATGAAATCTTATGTTATTTGTTTTTACCTCTAGAGATGAGTTTTAATGGAATTATATTGTAATTTCTGGAAAATATTCTAATTTGCTGTGATTTACTAATTACCTGATTATAATTGACATTAATGAAATATCGTTACCAAAAATTTACATTAGCAATTACCTGCAGTTACCAACTTATAGTAATTAGTTAATTATTACCCATTCCTAAGCAACTATTACTAATTACATATTACCAACTATTTGTTATCATTTATTTGAAATGCAATCTGTATGTTATATTGTTATAGATGCAAAACTTTGGTTGTTTAATCAAACCTTTATTGCACTTTCAAGTTTGGGTTTTTGACCATATGGTTTTTCTTTTTCACAGTTTATGTAGATGACCACACACTAATACCAAAGAACACTTCGCTTCTGGTTGCTAGAGTACCACTATCCCAACAACCTAAGAAACAGTGGGAAGGATCAAACAGCAACCAGTCATCACTACATAAAGATGTCGCTCCTAACAAGGGATTGGCTGATCTGTCTCGCATGGAAGGTAGCGAACAGGATAAAATAAATGCTATGATTTCACAATCTACCTTTGACTACGATCCTAGCAAGTAAGATAAAACAGGATTTATTCTGCAACATTAATTGTAACATTTAAAACTTTTTTCTCATTTTTCTATTAACAACTTCATGTAAAAACAGTGTATAAAGGCTCATCTTAAACATTGCATCATATTGCTGTTGCATTAAATGCTGTTGCCATTTATTCATATATATATATACACTTTAATAAAATAGAAAAATCTGAATGAATGCACCTGTTTTAACTTTGAAAACAAGGGTTTTTTTTGAAAGAAAAGTTAGACAATTTGATTCGGAAGTTGGAGAATAGCATCAGTTGATAGCTTGAATGGCCAAACTATTACCCAATACATTTTGGGTCATTAGAAGCTATGAATTATTTATTTTTTGTGTAGACTTACTTCCAATTCTATTTTAGGTACCTATAATTTGATGACAACGAAATACACATTTCAGAATTTTATACCACTTTATTTCTATTATTACAAATATTATGATCTAGTTAATGATAAGTTTTGTCTTAGTCATTATTATTATTATGTAGAATAAATGAATGGACTGTGAGTATAGAAATTTCATTTTTAGTAATATTAAGAACTTAAAAAGTTATTAAGAAGTATCATTAGTGTGAATGGCTATGTGAAAGAAGTAAAAGGGTATTTTGTGCTTATTAGTCCTTACTAAAAGCAAATTAAGTTTTTACTGAGAATCCTTATTAAATTTAATAAATACTATTAAAATCAGGGCAATTATTTGACAGTTTGTTGGTTTGTTTATTATGATTATGTAATTATATATTTTCTATGGCCTTATAATGCTTTTGGTGACTGGTAGCATAGCTTTGGTATGTGCTTGTTTATGTTGAGTTTAATTTTAAGATTGGTATAGTGGGTGTAATACAAAGAAAAAGATAACTGACTGTTTCGATGTAAAGTGTAACTCTATTAACTGTATTAAAATCATATCTATAAGATGCTGTTTAAATATTTGATAGTATACATTTCCAAAACAAACCTTAGACTGACTTTTTGGCAGAGTTTCAGTAATTATTTTTACAGATTACACTTTACAGAGAGCAGACACTTAGTAGTAATTTTTTTTCTTTGGTTTGCACTAAAAGAAATAGTACTGACTGCTGGAATTATGAAATACTTATTATAAGTTTAATTTCAGTTATCAGAAAATTAGAGGACAAAATCAGAGAGGTGCTGTCCCTTCTAATTACATCTGCTATAAATGCCAAAAACGTGGACATTGGATTAAAGATTGTCCAGCGGCTAATTCCGTATGTATTTGTAAAAAAAACTATAATTTATTTTTTTTGTCCTAAGAATGTAGTTATTTCATACTCCTTTTGTCTTTCAGAGTGACCCAATAGAGATAAGGCGTAGTACAGGAATTCCTCGTAGTTTTATGGTCCCCGTTGAAGGACCCAAAGCCCCAGGCGCCATGATGACTCCGAGTGGAACTTTTGCTGTACCAGCTGTTGATCGGTATGATAGTTGTTTTCACATTTTCGCTATAAAAAAACTTAAAAGCATTTAACCTGATCTGGTATTAAAACTTTGTATTCTGTTTCTTGTTTTTTTGTTTTTTATTAAA